GCAAGCAGGGGCTGAAATGAGAGCGTACTGACATGCACACTGGATACATACTACACTGTGTGTGGCTGTGACTCCAGGGCATGCATCAACTATAAAGGGAAATGCGCTCAAGTAGGGCTTGGATGCACAGAGTCATTTTTTCTACTGAAATTAAATGTGTATTCCCCCTGCAGTGCCAGAATTCATTTGCACAGACGAAAATGAGAAATCACATTAAGTCAGCTTAATGTTCGTGCTTCTCTTCATATTTATGAGATAAGGTGTGGCTGTAGATTTAGTTTTATCTATTACACTCCTGCTATAGAAGATGCACCAAATCTGCAATTTCTTATCTTTAAATAGCAAGTTTGCATGTTCCTTGCATCTACACTCTTCACAATAAAGGCAATGCCATAGAAAAACCTTTCAATATATTTGGTTCTTTTAGTAATTATAGAGCAGTAGGGGTGCAGCAATATGCGAGTTTCACGATATGATGTGCATTGATGCGAATATCTGGCACAAGCCATTTCCTTAGAAGTATATAAAGAAAATCACTGTCAACTGCAGTGGTGAAATTCAGTGTTTCAGTGCCTGCATGCTTCTCCACACCACACAACACGGAGGTGACAATAGGTTTAGGCTGTATGGCCTAATATTTGCACTTATACAGATACATAATTAGGCCTCTGATGAAATATCAATATCTTAAAAAAGAAACCTCCCACACAAATATATTTTAATGAAAGCTAGAACATTTTTCTTTAATGAAATGAAAAATACTAATAGTACTTTTAGTAATAGTACTTTGTTTTTTGTTAAGCTGTGTTCTTAGACTGTTATTTTGTCTCACTATTACTTTCTTTTTAGCAGACATCTGAGATTAAATATTTTTAAATATACAGTTTAATTTAATATTATTTAATTACATTTTATTTGATAGAACTGTGGTTACAGACATAACTTCCACACAGGCGAATCCTAATTATTCCTCACCTCTAATCTATGTGATAATAATAATAATAATAATAATAATAAGGAACAGTTGTTGAATAGTGATCCAAATATGATCCCAAATATTTTCTGTGACCCCTAAGGAGGAAAGGATATGATGATCCTTGGCCAATGTTTTAGTACTTTACGCTTGCTTAGGCTGCTATCCAGGGTTAGCATTTAGCTGTAACCCTCTCAATGAGGAAGTAATTTTACAAAACATTTTACAAATATGGCTACAAAACATGCATTAAAGTTTAAAAGTGCTTTAGTTTGTATAAAATAAAAGTAACAAACAGAGAAAGTTTCAGTGCTATTATAATGAGTGCTCTTTAGCATGCAGGAACATGTAATTCTGTGTGAATGTAACTAACATGATTTCTAACCTGTTCAGTCACTTCTACTTTGGGTCTCATCGTCCAGTGGGTCGTGCCGGCAATCAGTCCGCACTGTGTGGTTCTGCCGAGTAACTCAGTCTTGACCGAGTTTTGTGCTGTTTGGCTTATCATACTGCAGGTTTATCTGCGAGAGCTAGGTTCGGCCCACCGTCAAATTTGTGCCCATCCAAAACAAGAGTCCTGACACCGCTACTGGGTGTAACACTGTTAAATTCTTTATTTGGCTGCACTTGATAGGCACGGATTTCAAAGCTGACAGCTACACAGTGTAAATGGTTAAGGATAGCCTGCTATAGCACTGCTTACTGTCAAAGTCCATATAGTAAAGTCTGTTCAGTTGGCAGTCATTTTTGCAACGCCACCAGGCAGTTATTTCCAGTCATACAAGACCAGACCCCTCTCCCTCTAGATGGGGAGACCCAAAATACTCAAAACTGAAGGTCAAATTATAATAAAATCTGACAGAAACCTCATAAATAGGTCGTAGCACCTGGGTCTAATAACACACAAAACACGCAATGTTTTGAAAAAACATCAATATTAAAATGCACAGTGTGACACTCATATGTGCCAGCATGATGGACTTCTCTAAAGGCTTCACATAATGTAAAGGTTCTATACCAGCTGTAGAACTGTATGGCCAAACCAATAAGAATGTAGGAATCTTTAGATAACTTTAGAGATAGATTTGTTTTTTGTACATACTTTTACTTACTAATTGGCCATTATCCTAAAATAGTTCTTTACAACTTTGCTGAGCAAAGGAACTCTTCCTTTAAGATGCCTGTTTTCCATCATCACTCAGCCGCTTCAGACAGCAGGCCTGTGTGAGTGATTCTCTTTCATGTGCGCCCCCTCTGAGGTGGTCTAGCCTTGGCTGATGAGAGGATGGTAGCTAGTTTTTAGCGTGATTACACACTCTCAATTACAGCCCGATGTTCAACACCCTGCCTAATTAGGCTATACTCTCTGGAGGACGCATCTAGACTGCTAGCCTACAGAAAGAGAGAGAGGGAGAGAGAGCTCTGACCCCTGCTCCTGCTTTAACAACACCCACAACAAACGATATGGTTTTGTCATCCTTCAATGAGAGAAGGAGAGAAAGATTTTGTATTTCTGAGAGTGAGAGCAAGCATGTGACAGGAAAGAGGTTCTCTGCTTACTCCATAAGAACAAAACTACCAACAAAACCACCCAAGAAAAATGAACAGCCATGGTTTATATGTATCCAGACACTTTGAAGGTGTACATACTGCTGACCTTGCATAATCTCCATAGAAAAGCATTGGACTCTCTGGAGCAGCTGTGCATGAGCCTAAGATCACCATGCACCGTGCCACTTATTATTACAGTGTTGGGCTGTGGAGCAGTGGAACTTTCTGGAGTCATGGTTCTCCATCCAGTACCTTTGGGATGAGTTGGAGTGGTGTTTGTGATCCAAAACTAATCATCCAGCATCAGTACCTGACCTCACTAATGCTCTTGTGGCTGAAATGCAATTCTAACATCTAGTGTAAAACCCTCCCAGAAAAGTAGAGACTGTTCCTGCAGTAAACTCCTTCTTAATACCCTTGATTTTGGTCTGGTGCCTACAGAAGATGCACACCTACAGATACAGAAGTACACAGTACCACCTTTGCTTCTCGAAAGAACCTTTTGATGGATAGTTCTACAAAGGAATACCAGAGTTTTTCAACCTAATCTCTACACTCTTTTAAAAAAGCATCAAAAAACATTCTTCACCAAAGAAGAACCACTTTTGGCCCTTTAAAGAACCTTTCAAAGAATGTTTTTAAATAACTGTTTTGTAAATAAGATCTGTAAGTATGAAGAACCTTTCTTATAGTTGAAAGAACTCCACATAGTATAAAGATTAATGCTAATCAAGATTTTCGTCTCATTGTATGGCCAAGTCAAAAATAATTTAGGAATCTTTAACTAGGACTGCGTATGAGTTGAAGCATTTCTTTAAACAACACTGAGGTTCTTTTGGGGAATAAAAAATGGTTCTTGAATTCTACATGAATATCAGGCATGTCAAAGTGGTTTCCGTCTGGGCCACAGATCTGCAGAGATTATTGTTTTCCTCTGTGTAATGCTTTGAATTCCACTCTTGAAGGCCTTGCTAATTAACCGATGAGTTGAATCAGTTGTGATTCAGGAGACAGAATGTTAAAGTTTATAGTGCTTTCACGTGTGAAAACTCTAAAACGTGTGCTGTATATTTTCCTACCTTTTTCCACTTCTTCACATTCACACAGATGGCAGCTTGTTTTGTAGAAATGAACTATCCTGCGTTTGCCAGACACAGAGGCCAGAGCTGTTACCTTAACCACTTTAGTTGTGAATGTTTCAGTCTTAGTTGTGGTGCAGCATACTGTAATCAGATGGTGAAACTGCAGGGAGCATTCTAAAGGTCAGCCGGAGCTGTGACTGGGGCAGTGGGGTGGGACGCATGCTTTGTGTGGATAAGGAGAGGTGATTATAGGCGGTGAGAGAGAAAGGTCATGGTAGAAAGATTCCACACATATGCTTCTGCGATGACCTCTGGCCTCAGGGGCTGACAGTTGGCTGCTGAAGTGGAGCAGAAGGAGGAGGTTTCTGTACGTGGTGTACAGAGAAAGGCCAGACCAGCTATGTGAGTGTGTGAGCGATTTATGCACTGCATTAAAGTGCCTATATTTTTAGCAGCAGGTTAGCACTGTTCTGTAATGAGTGTTAATGTAATTTTAATGTTAATCTTAAAATAATCCTCTACAGGGAACAAACTTTAATAAGGCATTCTTTCTGAAAATTTTAGTACATAAATTTTGTATATTTGCATATTGGAAATATGTGCCAGAACTATTGGACACACCACATTATATGTTTGACTTTTTCCCCATATTTTGAATTCAGCAAATAAATAGTAATTGTGTATTAAAATGAGCAGAAGTGTGTTTTCAGTGGAGGGTGTGTTAAATTATTTTCACATAGAAAATCAACAAAATGTGTAATTTGACTAAGTGTGCCGAAACTTCATTTGCAGTAATGCATGTGTATGAGTGAATGGATAAGACTGAAAAAATACCTTTTTTATACCAAGGCCTTAACATGGTCATCCTTGCCAATTTGCTTAATTTGGAATTGTGACATAGATATAGACATAGACATAGTGCAGAATCTTGAATTTGTCTTCTTCAACTTATTTATTATTTGCATACCTTTTTTCAAATGTTCATAATTCTAACTTTCTGTTATTAATTTTCAGGTTTAAATGAAAAAACAACAGTTTCACTGTATTCTTAAACTTTTGGACCACATGATAGATAGATAGATAGATAGATAGATAGATAGATAGATAGATAAACAGACAGACAGACAGACAGACAGACAGACAGATAGATAGATAGGTATTCATGTGTAGTGCCACTTTGGGAATAATTAATTTTATGATGACCTGTTCGGGGTGTATCCTCCCTCCTGCCCAATGACAGCTGGGATAGGCTCCGGCACCCCCCACGACCCAGAAGCATGAGCGGTTTAGAAAATGTGTGTGTGTGTGTGTTTGTATGTGTGTGTGTGTGTGTGTGTGTGTGTGTGTGTTTCATTTTACCGAAACCACAAAATAAAAGTTCTGTGAAGCTTACAGTATATCTTTTTGTGTTTATTCATTATGGTGGGCGATGACTTGGCAGATATGACCCACTCACTCCAAAGCATACACACACATACACACACACTTGAACACAAAATTCAACTGTATACTAACATTCCTTCCAGCAATGCTTGACATGGATTCATATTCACTCATATCTCTTTATTCTTCTGCACACTTTCAGCTTTGTCTTCTTATTCGTCCATAGCTGCTTGGGTTCATGGGTCAGGGTGTCATCACTGAGAATATTCATTAAAAAATCTAAACCTGAAGGCCTCCGTGGCTTGGAAATGTTCTTGTTTCAAAAGGGGATTGAATTCTGTTGGGGTATATTGCTTCTCTCTTCTTGTCAGTTTTACATGACGTCCTGCTGGTGCTGTGTGGATTCGCTGACAACCTTCAGGGAGAGACAAACAGTGGAGATCAGTCACACATGCAGCAGAAGACAGATAAAGCTCAGAGCAGATGGGTTAGGAGATGTGTAAGGTAAGTAAAGCAGCTGGCAAAGTGCAGAGAGGAACGGAACAGGCATGAGGTGGTTTAAGACGAATTTCAATTACTGTGCTTTTATGCCAAATATGAATAGTAGGGCCGGTGCAGAACTATCTGTCGAAGCTAATGATAAACAGCCAGTTGCTGTAGTGTTGTGCAGTCAGAAATGTGTTTCTAAGTGATAACACTCTCCTTTGCCCGGTTCGGCAGGGCACTACACAGAGGACAGTCGCTATCAGTGTTGTGCAGTGGATTTTAATGATGCTTCCTGGGGAGCATTCAGGGGAGGCCAGCAGTGCTTTTACAGGGAGTGGACTCTCTGAGAGATAGAGAGTGAGCAGGTGAGGAAGGAGAAGAAGAGATGAGATGGATGAACTGCTGTGTAACTTACACGCTGAGCGCTCATGGCACTCATTTCCTCACTAGATGTCCTAGTCTAGAGGGAAATGAAAAATAAGGAGGCGGATGGATGAATGAAGGGAGCAAAGGGATATGGCTTTAACCCCCTACATTTCCAGGCTTTTTATGGATTTACGTTGAAAATAGTGTGATCTGATTAATTTGTTCTTAAAAGGGAATTCCACTGGTTTTTCAAAAGTTCTGCATAATTCATTATTTACGATGGAAACAAAGTCAGTCAGGGCAGTTTGATGTGAAATGCTCTGTTCTAGAGAAATTATAATGCCAAAATCGTTCACAGTGGTGATGATAGAAACCAGACTTCTGAAGAATTAAATACCTCTAAGAGCTCCCTTACAGAACAATATTACATTAAATAATTACACTACATAATGCATAAGACTTTTTTATGACGGTTTTGCAATAATGTTTTGGCTTATAATGTACTTTTACAATACAATGATGGTGAAGATGTGTAGATTCAGAGGTCATTTTGGATAGGACATTAAAAGGTTATGTTTGCATTGTAGACACTGATCCCTGGTTCCTATAACCACCTTTTAAGCATTTCTCTACAATTAATTTATTTATACCAAACCACTCTGAATGACTTTGTTTACATCTCAATTAAATTATGCAGAAATTTTCAAAAATCAGTGGAATTCCCCTGTAAGTTACAGGAGTGAAGAATGGTAGCAGTTCCTGGCCATTTAAGGGGTTAGAGAAGTGATTGTCTTCATTAGTGACATTCAGCTATGAATGAAATTTGATACAGGTCAGTGTCCAATTTGAAACCCAGCAATAAAAAGATGATTAAGTAATAACTCAGAGAGGTGTGGGTGCCTGTGTGTGTGTATACATATACACACATACATATATATATATGTATGTGTATATTATATATAATCTCACCTCTCCATCACGAGTCTCTATGGTCTTGATCAGAACTGTTTTCTTGGAGTGGACCTCAGAGGAACGCGGCTGCATATGCTGCTCAGGGTTGGTCTCTATTGCAACATAGTTCACAACCATCATTAGTTTTGTTACATTAAGGTACAGTTTACAAATGATATCACATAGGCTTATTGTTTCTTGTATTATTTTCAAGTCTTATCATTTAGTGACTACTATAAATGATTTGGTACCAGCTATGAAACTAACATGACTAATAATATAGTAGCAGTCTGGATGAGCATACAAGGCCTTTGGATTTAAATGGTTAACTATAATGGAAGCTGGGATCCCTTATTAATGTAGCTGCCCCACTATTACAAAAACAGTTTGCTTGAGAAAAAGGGACAAAGTGTCTAAACAAAATGGCTGTGCTCCCTCTGGTGGATAATTTAAGAATGTCACATCTACTCAGTTGGGTGACAGTATTCGGTCTCTTGGTTGGTAGAGAAAGAGAGGGGAGAGAGAGAGAGAGAGAGAACGCAAATAAACATAAAGGCCCCACCTCTGACATCACCTCTGAAGCTCAAGGAGGAATATGACTGTGCAGGCAGAGTGATCCTGGGAAGGAAAGAGATGACAGGTTGAAAGGTTATGTAACACTAACGTGAACTTGGTGTCTATCTGTATGAAAAACTAGATGTCCAATATTTTAGAAAAGTATGTAGAACATACTAATATCCCACATACAGGATATGCAAGTGCACTCTGTACTCTTCAGTTCACTAGTCATCATTTTACACATGATAAAAAATGGTCTTTATATGGTCAGCCTGACACATCTTTCTCCATCTACATTCTGTCCAATTTAATCTATTGGTCATTTCTTACTCATTTGGTTCAGGTTAATTTAGCATGGTCATTTGGGAACTCAATTTTCCTCAACGTTTTCCTATAATTTACACTGCAATTCAAAATATTGAATATGTTTTCATTCCAAATGTAATTTAGTCAGTAGTGAAAGTGATGTTTTTTTCGAAATAACACGTTTATGTCTCTATTTCCTGCTTGCCCTATTTTTATCTCTTTTTTTCCTCTTTATAACATTTGTATATTAATGCTCCAGTTTACACCTACATTTTAACACAATTTTGACTGAATAGTCTGGTTAAATACAGGTTCTTTGACCAAATAAAAGAAGTACTAAATAACTTTATAATTCTTCTTATCTTTAAGTAATCTAAAGACCATTCACCTGCTTTCCTCTCCCTCCAGCAGCTTCCTGTAGGTAGCAATCTCCACGTCCAGGGCCATCTTGACATTGAGGAGGTCCTGGTACTCCCGCAGGTGACGGGCCATCTCATCCTTCATTTTAGCAATCTCGGCCTCCAGACGGGTGATGGAGTCCTGGTAGCCTCCGGCCTCGCGGCCCATCCTTTCTTCCATCTCCCTCATCTGCCTCATCAGAGACTCGTTCTGGAGAGTGAGAATAGTAATTTAATGAATTAAATATATAAAACAGAAATAGAGAACAGATACAAACACCAGTGCTTAGTGCCACTCAGCCAAAGTCAATATGTGCAAAGACCTGAGTAAATATATTAAGGCTTTCTAATAACTATCAGGTGTAATGAGTTGTTCTGAGGCTGAGCTCATATCTGGATTGCCGTGGGGTCTGATGATTGCTCCTGCAGGTTATGAAAAGAAAGAAAGATCGAATAAATACTCACAGTGCCCTTGAGAGAGTCGATCTCGCAGGTGTAGGACTGGATCTGGTGACGGAACTCCATGCTCTCCTGCTTGGCCTGTCTTAGAGCGTCGTTGTTCTTGTTCACAGCCTGGTTCAGATCTGACACCTGTGGATGGGAGCGATTAGCTACAGTCAGGGTTTTGATTTAAGGGTGAAAGCAAAGGAATACCATTTTTTCTCTCACAAAAAAGGACAAAAAATCATCCCCATTGTAAAATTGCCATCCCCCCTTTCCATCCCCTTTGAATCAGTGTCTTAATGTGATACGATTAAAAAGATTAAGATTATTACGAGTATTTCAAATCCTTGTATATTTGAGATTTACATGACAAAGTTTATGGTGCAGGTATATATTAATGATCTGCAACAGTATTGTAGCTAAATGAATTTGTATAATCTTATAATCTTATATCTGCCTGTAGAAGTTTGAAAAAAAAATATTCTTTGTTCTATATGTAAAAAAATGGTCAGTCGAATTACAGTATGAAATGACAGATATCTGAAAAGGCTTTTTCATGAGCTAAAACGTAAGTGTAGCTTCATTTCATAACCAACTTCCCCAGTGCCTCTAGCCTCCTGATCGTTTGAAGCCAATAACCCTTTGAACTTTTTTTTTTACAGTTCAACCACTGGCTGTAATCACAGAGTTTGCTAGAGAGCGCTATTCCACAGCAATATCTTTTCCAGTAATGTATTGGTGTTAGGACTACCACTGATTTTTCAGCAAAGGCAGTGACTGAAAGCACAATGTGTTTGATCATTGCCTTATGCAATGTACTTTATTGATCCTACAAGTAAAATTTGTCATTTCTCTGCCTATCTATGCCCAGGCTGTGAGCAGCACAGCATCGGCAGCAGAGCAGTGCAACCTGGTGCAATGGGGGATTGAGTGCCTTATCCAAGGGCACAACCAGGTATACCCAGTCAGTCATGTGATCTGAACCTACAACCTTCCAGAGTCAGTAGGTTCATCACAGATTTATGTTATTGTACATTAATAAGCTGATTTGTGTTAAAATTCGTGTCATAATAGTACTTTTATCATGATAGTAGTAAGAGACAGAGAGCTGATGCTGCATGCATGCAGGTATTACAGTCCAGAAATAAACATTCAGCCTTAAATCTGAACTTTACTGGTAATTCTACGCCTGCCAGTATTACATTATATAGTGTATATGTCCCTGTGACACACCTTGGACTTGTACCACTCCTCAGCCTCTGCAATGTTCTTGGCAGCGATGGCCTCATACTGCGTGCGGATGTCTCTCAGAGCAGCAGTCAGGTCGGGTTTGGACATATCCATCTGGATCTGGACCTGGGACTCCTGCATCTGGTTTTGGAGCTCACGGATCTCCTGTACACAGAAAGGCAAAGCAAAATCAGAAATGATAAGAACGTTCACCTTCCTAGCATTTCACTTGGTGAGCTGAGTGAGATAATTCTAGTTACATTTCTAAACATTTAAAGCAATGTATAAATGTGTACAATGTGTGCAATGAATACATTTATATATGCCAAAGCAATGTAGTATGCCAAAAAAGGTACAATGGCTGAAGGTAAGATTATAAAGCTGAGAAAATTTACTGCTAGAATAATCTAAACCAGTTGAGATTCATATACTAAATAATGTACTGTACAGCATTTTATTACAGTATAATGTTTCCTTATATAAACAGTAGATGTGGGGCATTTCAAAGTGTAGTCCTTCGGTCTGTTTCACAGCTGCATGTCTGAATCTGTTTCTCAGGTTTTAATTATAGAAATGCATCTGTTCCACAGCATTACACTGCCCCCGCCCTGTCAGAGCACAGCTGACAAACCTACATGCGCGTGCACACGCAAACATGTGTCACGCTAACATTTCACCTCCAAATGTCAGACAACAGGGGGACAGTCTGAAATGGTCTAACTTTTGGAGATCTGGCATGCGCGTCTTGATTATGAGTATGACTATATGTGCATGTGTTACAAAGTATGTCTTTGTACATACATGTGTTTAGCACAAAGTGTGTGTGGATAAAGAATTTATTGTATTTCTGGGGTTTACATTTAGACAAAAATCGAAAAAATGGATTGCTGATTTAGCAAGGAGCGGCAGGTAGCGAATGAGGGGATGATAAGTGTGTGGAGTGACAGAAGGATGGAACGAATGCTTTGAAAAGCACACAGACCTCCTCATGGATCTTCTTGAGGAAGGCAATCTCTTCATGCAGGCTCTCAATGCGTCTCTCCAGGTCCAGCCTGGCGATGGTAGCAGCGTCAACATCCTAGAGAGAAGATATGAAAGGATTTTTCTTAATCCGAGATCAAATGTGTGGTCATTTCAATGTGAAACCTCAGGTCATTCTGTAAGAATCTTTAAGAACACTTCTGGTTTGGTTTGTTGAAATTGTGTAAGATTTCATTTGAATATGTTTGCAGAATGTGGACTTACAGCTCTAAATGCAGAGAGGTTGTTCTCGGCCTCCTCTTTCTGGTGAATCTCCTCCTGGAGTCTGTGGAAGAACAAGCAAAAGTCCTCAGACTGACTTTCTGCTTCAAAGACGACATCTAACACCGTGCAAATGTCCTCAAAGGTAACCATCCATAAACATTATCACATGGCTTACATTCCTTTCTAAACTGTGGGTAACATAATATGCAATTAAGCATTTTTTTCTTGGTGTAGTCATATAGGAATCTCAAGATATACAAAAATAGTCTCATACCCAATAGGCAACATGTCCACAGGCAGCTGTCCTTTAATATAGGAGAAATGAGGTGGGACTGGTTCTCTGGTGTCACCTTACCATAACTAAACAATGCCAATGGTCAGATAAGGATAGGGCATGTAGCCAAGTTCCATACCACGTGGAATCACACTATTGCAGAGGTGATTAAACTTTATGCTACCGACTCCTTTGAAATGGCGATACCTAGTGCACGCAGCACATATCAGGTTTCATGTATGCGATGGTTGGCAGTCTAATCGCATCTGATGATATTTCAATGACAGATGTTGGAGTCACGCCATGCAGATGGCAGATGACTCCATTACATACTATGCTACGTGAAACTCAAGTGCACTGCAAAACCTTCAACATGTAATACTTAACAGGTGTCATTATTGTTCTTTAACTCTTCATATCATCACTGTTAAAATAAAATACAAATGAAAACAAGTATCTCCAGAAAGGTAATTTCACAGAAGAAGGCAAAACATTTTTAACTTTTAAAGGAAGTGAATGCAGAATGATTTTGTTCCAAGCAATTATGGAGCATTTCTAACTGTGACAAAATGTAAAGGACAACTGCTGTGTTCAATTAATTTAGAAAAATGAAAAAAAAAAATAGATGCATTATTTTTTGTACAGTGACAATATTAATAATTTGTTTTTGTTATATAATACTTTTTATTTTAATTACAAAATCTGAATGTACTTTGAACAGGAGGATAAGTTAAACTTATTACATTACATTGCAGTTAAAAGGAAATAACTGTACAATTAAAATAAATAAATAAATAACTCCAGTTACATTAATATTGCCAAATATATTTTTAATCTGGAAAACACCTATCAAATTGCATTCCTAATGTTCTCTGGAAAACTATTCCGATTTCCTAGTGAGAAGCTATTCAAGAGAAAGATTAAAAAAGATATGTTTGTTTTAAATGGCTCCTCTTTCTTCCTCTTTTAGGCAATCTTCTGTATGCAGAGGTCCAGTCCTCTTAAGCAATGCATATGAATAGCAGCTGCTATTAACAGCCTACAAATGGTTATCGTGAATCAGTATTGTTAATGTGGGGCAGTCTCATTCTAATGCCTGCAGTCCCCTGAGTGCTATGTGCTCACTCTCTCTCTCATGCGTATGCACTCACACACTCGCCCACACACACACACACACACACAGAGAGGCTGCGAGATAAGGGTATTTTAGGAGATGAGAATTCTCCACAGTCCTGGGGGGTGGTAATAGGGGTGGGGGGGGGGAGCATATTGGGGAGGATAATAATAGCTTTCTAATCTGGGAACTGCTCTTACATGACTGTGGGTCCTCTTGCAGCTGAGAGCGCAGCTCTAGTACTGTCAAACTGCATTTCTAATAACATACACTATACTTCCAGTGTAAGCTAAAGCAGTGTACTGTACACCATGAGTTAAAATCTGCCACTCATTCATACTATCCCTCTCTCTGTCTTTCCCTGTCTCTCTCTCTTTCTCTCACTCCCACACACTCTCTTTCCTTATTTCCACGATGGCCACTGCACTCCTAGATGGCCTTGTCTGCCTATTGACTTCCTCTGTGATTCATGATTCTCACTGTGTTAATATTATAGCTGGTGTGGCCATGTTCAGAGCTTATTCCCTTATAAACGTTTAGAACTTTGGCCTCCACAGACACAGACACTCATTACTAAAGCAGACCACTGTGATAAATGTACCTGTGGTGAAATTAAATTGTTTTTCTGCAATATCTTTTGAAAAATGCCACCTGCCTTTTTTGCCAAAGGGCTGTCAACGACTGCTCTTACTTGTATTGCAGGAATCTGAGCACAAATGGCTTTGAAGGGCAATATAAGTGCTATGTTACTGTCAAATTGCATAGCCTAGACCATAAACTTTTTAATGGAAATTCACACCTCTTGTCATAGTAAGTATCACTTATAAAGAAACTGTAGAGTTTCGCTAGATATAGATTGTCATAACATGTTACAATAAATTAGAAAACATAATGAATCAGTCAGTTCAGGAATGCATGGAATGGGCAAATTAGGAGGACAGCCAGAATCTTTCCAGTCTAGCACTCTATGGCTTCTTTTAGGCCAGACATGCTGTTGCATAACAGGAGTCAGAATAGATGGGAGTGACAGAAGAACCACTATGGCACTGAAAAGAAATATTAAGACGCCGTCATCCTATTTTATGGACGTCCTTCTAATAGCTCCACATGTTCTTAATGACAGAATCGCTTCTGGTCTGTCTAATGGGCAATAGATTTTGAACTGCGTCATACTGCTTGCTGCACATTTATACACATTCTCTTACAGGTTCATAGCTCTCCAGCTGATATGAATGATATTTGGAACAGAAAGGTGTGTAATCTCTCTTACCTGAGTTTGAGCTTCTGTAGGTCGTCAGCCAGGTTGTCCCGCTCGACCTCCACACGAGCTCTCTGATTGGTCAGCGCATCCACCTGTCTGCGCAGCTCCCTCATCTCCTCCTCATACATCTCAGCAATACGGGTGGGCTCGCGGCCACGAAGGCGCTCCACTTCCACGACCAGGGCCTGATTCTGTTGCTCCAAGAAGCGCACCTTCTCAATGTAGCTGGCAAAGCGGTCATTCAGGTGCTGCAGCTCAGCCTTCTCGTTGGTGCGTGTGTTCAGGAAGTCCTGGTTCATAGCATCGGCCAGGTTGAAGTCCAGCTTCTCGCCAGCATAGGACCGCATCACAGGTCCGGCCTTGAAGGACGAGCGGAGGCTGGAATAGAGGGGAGTGGAGGAGGTCTTGGTCATCTCGTAGACTCTGGAGGACATGCGTGAGGAGCCGGAGGCCCCAGAGGAGCCCAGGCCGGAGAACAGTGAGCCAGACATGGTGGAGCCCAGGCCTGAGCCAAAGGTCCGCCGGTAGGATGAAGCCGTTTCAGCGGAGGCACTGTAGGTCTTGCTCATGGTTGGAAAACTCTGGGGTGTATGCTGGGTCGAAACTGTCTGGGTTGGAGGGTTTGACTAGAATGAGGACCAGCAGTCAAGGGTGCTGCTATATGTAGCCTTACTCGCTTTTAAGCCCCCCACCCTAAACCCGTCACAGCCCCCGCTGGACCCCACCTCTTCTCGCTGCCCCCTGGTCTCTCAGCTGTCATAGGGTTTCCAGTAGCTGGGTGGAGTAGATGCCAGTAAGTGCATATGGTGAGTGGGTTGGCGGGGGTGGACAGTGGCCTAGACTAGGTTACATGTTAGCATGGAGTCTTGTGTTACCTGGGAAAAGGATCATAAATAACTGCCACAATATTATTTGTGATACAGCCATGCCTGGAGTTCCATTTAGGTTTCTTTCAACATGAAAGAGGGCTTGGTGATGGTGGAATATACTGACATGAACGGCAATTTAGGGAAGTGCTCCATAAACACCTGCTACTATAGTGCTTTGAAACTTTTGCTTTTAGCAATATATGAGTTAAAGCAAACAGTCTGTTTGCCACATGAAAGGTCATCCATCTTGGTTTTGGCTCTTTCAGAGCATGATTCCTCCACAGTGAACACACTGCCATTGTATTGGATTCATGCACAGTTTAGACCTTCCACGTCCATGATGCCAGATATTCTCACTTCTACAGGAAGCTGGTGGGTGAGAGGCTGTCTGAGTGAGTGGGATGTGGCATCCTTGGGGCAGACAGAGAACAGAAGACCCAGAGCGGTGATTCAGTGCTGTAGTCTTGCTTGGCTCTGAGCCTTTGTCTCTTCTCACAGATTAGCATTTAAGAAAGTTGCAGCTATCAAGACTTCTGTCTTTGCCACTGACCATGCCAAATTTCAGAAAAAAGTGAACTCTATATTGTGCTAATTAAGTCACAAATAAATAACAATAGACAATAGACAATTAGGCAATTGCCAGGTGGTATATTGGTTTTTGGCATCTCCAATTGGAACAGTTCAATATTTTTGGGAATTTTTACACTGTGTCCATTTTTACACCTCCGTCCTCTAAGGATTGTGCTAAATTGTAATGAAAAGAGTTTGGACTGGTCATATATTCTTCTGCTACACCATTAAATTCATCGGTCAGGCAGCATAATCCATACTAGGCTTAGTATACAGCTATTGAGCTTAGACGTATGATTCAGAAACTAACATGAATACTACATTACTTAAGCTACAATACTAGTAATGTAGTTGAGAGTGAGGAATTCAAATGTGGGCTTAAATAAAGTCTTCAAAGTTTTAAACGCTGGTGACAATATGAGATAACATTTAATGATGAAGCAAAATATCTGAGGTATCTTAGTGTTATAATGAAGAAGTAAAATAAAAGGGAACAGGTGAATCCACTTTCCGTCACTGATACTTGGTGTCATTAAGTTACTTATATCATATTTTACACAATTCTTGAGCAATCAAGATGAGAAGACTCTGTATCAAACAGTCATGATGCCCTATAAAAGCTCCAGCATGCCTCCCTTCCCCCTCTGCATTCCCCTGCTTGTCCAGTGACTGACTGAATGGCCTGTCTTACTCCACAGCTGCTGCTGTCACTGCTATTAATAGGCTTCCAGTTTGATCCCTGTCACTAGAATGCTCTCCTTAGGGCCTCTCAGATAGAAGGAGACTGTGGACCTGACGGAAGCAGACAAGCAAACAACCAATAGCACCTACTTCTTCACCTGGAGTATCTAAATAAAGGACGAAGCACTGATGGATTGGAAAATGTGCAAAGACAGCTATCAAAGACATGTAGGTGCAAAAGAGATTATGAGTATAGGGTAGTCAGTTGTGAAAAATAAAAAAAATATTTGTTACATATCTGCCATGTTGTTTTTTGTAGGGGCTCTAACACAGGTTAACATAATATTATATCATATTAACACAAATGTAGCCTTACTCCTCTGTAAGGAAAAGGTTATTTTCTGGGTGTTGATACCTCTGCTCTAATTGGTCATATCAGTGGAAGGGGAATGTGGACATTCCGCAATGGTGAAGAGCTCAACAATGGCCGCAGCTAAGCACACTGTAGAAGAACAAATCTACTCTACTTTTTAACTCTGCTTTAACTATGCTGAGGAACCAGATGCAGATCATTTAATCATGTACCAGCCAAACATCTGATTACACACACAGCCATGCATAAGGCACAAACCCTGAAATTCATGTTAAGAGTAGTTTTTGTTTACCTGATCACCACTATCAGGATAATGCCAATTACTGTCAGTGCTCTAATTGTCTAGATTATGTAGCACCAAGCTAACAGTGATGTTCATTTTATAGCGGTTGTCTTGTTTAAACATAGATAATTGCATTCGCAAAGTCTCTACTTTGCATGTTGCAGTTTGGATATTGACTCTTTCAGTAAAGGTTTACACTTAAAAAAGGTCTCTAAATATTATTAGCTTGCCAAGCTGGTCTGCTTACTCAAGTGAGGGCAGAATACAGTCCAATTATTTCACTATTTGGATAGAGGATGTTAAAATGAGGTAGGCAGTTGGCTTATTGGTGGTTGTCAAAAAACCCCAGATAAGATACCAATAAGACAATGTCTCTAGGACATAGTGCTTCCTTGTTACGCCACTTGCATAATTTTGGCAATTATATGTAACCTGTAATTTATCATTTAAGTTCCTAAAACAGTGCAGTTTCCTGTTTGCCTTGTTTAAAGACGACTTGTTGAAATTTGTTTTAGATTTCAGATTTATTTAATACAAAATCCAAAAGTAATGAAAAGAAATCAGATCGTTTTACTTTATAGTAAGTAATAAGTAATTATTTGGAATAGTTTACATAGTGCATTCTTTGACATGTAATCAGTAATCTGTACATTTATAAAAATTTTAAAGTAACCCTCCCAACCCTGCTGATATGTACATTGCTGTCAGAGACATCATATAGTGCATATATGAAGGCTAGGGGAGTGTAAATTAGAGTGGGGCAGCATGCTTGGTCAATGTGATGCTATAATATATGGCAATCCTAGTAGATTTTATAATCATGTTTTCCGAAAAGCAAAGTATTCTATACATTTTGCTCATTTTACTCAAGTGAGGGCAAAATAAACTTCAACTAGTCCACTAATTGAATGGTTAACTTCAACAAAAACACATGGGCTGAACACCAGCCACTAAAACACAGAAAGGTAGTGAAACCGATATGCAATGTTGGGCAGTATTAGAGTAATGCAATGGGGTACACTATCTTTTATAATCACGTTTTCCGAAAAGCAAAGAATTCTTTATGTTTCTTTGTGAAGAAGATGGTGTATACAAAGACAAATAACGTACATGTGATCTGGCGATGAAAAGGCAGTTTTGTTTGTTATGTCCGCTTTAACACAGTCGTAAAAGTGGAGAGATTTTGTTATTTGCCTCCTCTAGGAATAGGTTTGGTATTTGTTTTATATGTCTTGGTGTCACGAGTGCCCAAAGGAACGCAAACAATGCCATTTTTAACGCACTGTAAGTTTTCCACAGGTTCACACTGTGTATCTGGGGAGCCGTTAGTGAAGCAGAATGGCAACAGCAGAGTGTACTTTTAGGGCAGGGGAACTCTGTGAAACTTTGACATTTACATTGGCTGCCAGTGGATTGACAGGAGAATTCAGCTTCACTGAAACAACATGAAAGCTTTTGACTGCAGTGTGGTTGCAATAGCACGTAGTAGCACTCTAGAGAGTTTTGGCAGCCCATGTGAGTCAGTAGGACTGAAATAGCTTGATGCAGCAATTTTAGAAAATGGTGTGGTGGGGAAAACACAGGAGTCCCCCAATTGTGAGCCAATGGTAAAAAAAATGACTAGGCTAAAAATGGCTGTGTGGCATAGAAACTTTAGAACATCACCACAGAACTATCAACAATCAAGAAATGTCTTAAAAACACACTTCCTTAAGGTTCCTTTCAGTGGAGTGGTTTGACTTGACTTCTTTAAAGAACCTTCAATTGAAAGGTTTTATAGGAAATCAAAAGTTCTTTTTCTAAGAAAGCTCCAAAGCACCCATTTATTTTTAAGAGTGTGGATAGAAAGAATTTTTGTTACTATTTTTTATAGGAATGGTCAAAAGGGCAGCATTTATGAATACTGCCGTCCACTGGAATGGGCTCTACCCTTTCTGGAGCCATACTGCTATGAGGTAGGAGGCTATAAGTATATTAGAGCTGTGTGCTGGCTTTTGCCTTATTAGATTTGTACCATTGCTTTGTGAAAGGGGTTTAGCTATGACTCTCGCTACCTCCCATGGAGACAGCTGCTCCATAAAATATGAAAGAGGGAGAGAATGTTGCAGCAGGAATGTGTAGAATGTGTGTAGTGACCTGTATATTATCATCTCAGTCTGGGACATGTGGTCTAAAAGTGGACAATCACTGCTCTGACATCAGTTTGTTTTTTTTTTTAATAAAGAGTAAATGATAGACCGTATTATAAGAGATATTGTAAGATTGGTCATTGCGAGTGCTGAGTTACTGGAGGTTCTGTTTGAAGTTTGTGTGAAAGCTGGTACACTGCACTGTATTCAGGTCACCTCCTGGTGAGAGCGTTTACCCAGGCATACTCGCGACACAGAAAACCAGGGCCTGCTGCCAGAGAAATAAGTGAATTGGCTGATGCGCCTTCATGTTTATAGCAACTGTGTCATAGGAAGAGATACGCTTCTCATCAGATGGAAACACCATGTGTAGTTCCTGTTCTAATGTAGTCTATTATGTTCTGTTCTAATACAAACTGTTCTTAACATAGTCTTCTTAAAGAATGTGGACAGACTGAAGTGTTTGACGGTACGGCTGGTGATACATGTTCATTATGACTCTAAGTGGAGTGATTGGAGATGCCGTTATCTTTTGAGATTACTTCAAACAGAAGCACCAAAATAGCTGCCTTACAATGCATTCATCTACACACATATCACTGTCATAGCAAAATCTTCTGGAAATAGAAAAAGCAAAACAAAAAACATATTTTGAATTTTAATATTAATGTAAAAATATTGCATTCCAGGTCATTTTGGACCCTTTCTATCCACACAATGTCAAAGCCAGCTGGCGTTTTTAAACAGTGTAAAAAGTAGACGACTGAAAAAGTACTGTGACATGTTTTTGATATGACAGTGACAATATATATTATAATAAAAAAATAAAGAGATAATATCAGATTACGTTTTTGGAAACTCCCTAAGGAAAGTACCGGCTAGTGAAAGGATCATAGGTGACAGGTTAGAAATGATTCATGACAAGGTCAGATCACGCAAGGTCCCCAGTCGCTGGGAAACCGCAAACACAGGCGAGACACTGACCTGTGCTCCGTTTATAGGCCTCTGTGTCCAGGGGTGACTCTCTGAGTTCTCAGTATGTGTCTGAGGAAACCTTAGAGAATCTTCTGTGTCATGAAATCATTACAGTCTTTTTCAGCTGATCTGAAGAACAAAAAAACAGTCTGGTATCAAAACATTCAAGGATTCACCAATGAATTCAACTGAATATGCTATTGAAAAGAGAATTTCTGCTCCTGTCTTCCCCAGAAACGTGTAATCCCTGGGGGTGAAGGGCCCAGCTGCTGCTGATGGCAGCATGGCTGTGTGGAGCCATGGGGAGCAGGTGGGAGGCAGAGGGAGCGCGACCAATCCCTAGTAAACGACTCTCCAAGGAAATAGACCTAGCAGTAACCTACTGACCATTCTAGATGGTTTTAACATTACACCACAACTTACTTAATTACTATTATTACTATTATGATGAGCAGCTTACTACTATTAGACAATGGAACTGAACAAACTGTGCATCAGATATTTCTCAGTGGATGTCGCAAAATCACATAAAAATGAAAACACTGATCGATGGTACAAAAATCTCAAAGAAAGCTGCTTTATGAGAAACTTTGTTCTTTAGCTTTGTATACCAAACCTGAAATACGAAACCTGGGTGTGATCTTAGACTCTGAGCTCTGTTTTATCCCACATGTAAACACAGTCACTAAAGTAGGTTTTTATCATTTGAGAAATATCACTAAAGTTCAGCCTTTTCTGTCTCAGAGAGACGCAGAGAAACTTGTTCATGCATGTGTTACAAGCAGAGTTGATGACTGTAATGATCTTCTTACTGGACTTCCTAAGAAAGAAATACATCCTTTACAACACATACAAAATGCAGCAGTGCACATCCTAACAAAAATAAAAAAGAGAGATCATATCACTCCCATTTTAAAAGAACTGCAGTGGCTGCCTGTATCTGTCAGGATAGATTTTAAATGACCTAGCACCCACTTACATCACAGAGTGTCTGTCGTTTATGTTCCAGCACATCTTAGATCTGCAGATGCTGGCCTTCTGCAAATACGTTCAGTAAAATCCAGATAACACAGAGGGACCTTGTTCAGTTGTTATGCTTCTAAACTGTGGAACTCAATTCCACCTTTTATTAGACAGTCAAGCTCAGTGCCCACTTTTAAGAAACATCTAACAATGTATCTCTTTTACTTAGCATTAAATTAAAACTCATGGTATATATCTTTTCTATCTGTGTGGTTTTCTTATATGATTCTAAGTTAATAATTATAATTTCTTGTTTTACTGTTTAACTTTATCACCTGTCTGTAAAACACTATGAGCTGTCACTAGCATAACGTGCTATATAAATAAAATATGTTATTATTAAATTATTATTATATCATTTATGAATCATTATTACGATATTGGCCTTGTATCACAGAAGGCTGCATAAATACACAAATGAGTGCTCTAATCTTGTGTGTTATCTTGTGTTGTTTTTTTTACTGCATGCATGCTGTGAGAATCTTGTTCAGTCACAGTTCCAGTGTTTCTTTGGGATCTGTGGGTGTTCTGCTTCACATATTCACACAAACAACAAAAGTTAATTATTTTTGTAAAATAATACAGCTCAGTCTTCAACTATGTTATTGATTCCCCAAGAGAGTTTTATTGAAAAATAATGTCACAACTGTAACGCGCTACCATGTTTTTCTTTATGACATGTTCCTCCTGTCCTAATCTGTCGTCAGTGCATGGTTTGCCCATCAGAATACGTGCCAGTATGGGGGAGGTGAGACTGCTGCTGCTGGAAGGTGCTGGGGGTCTAAATGCCATAGCATGTGACTCTGACCGTAGGCGGAGGTTATGGGAAGGCGGGGGTGGCAGCACCACAGCAGGTTGACTTTCAAAAAACAAGCAACGGCTGCCCCGGCGACCCACCAAACACATGTACACAGATTCCAGACAGGAGAGAAGCCATACAGAAGAGAGAGAGAGAGAGAGAGAGAGAGAGAGAGAGAGAGAGGGAGAGAGAGAGAGAGAGAGAGAGAGAGAGAGGTTCATCAGTTTACCAATGTGAATTCCTGTAATTTGTCAGCATCAGAAGCCTGATTTGGAAGGACTTATCAGTTAAACAGTCATATTGTGGGAAAAAAAATCACTAATATTAAAAATAATTCCAAGGATCATTTTTGTGTGGATCTTTCTACACTAACAGCATGTGGACAGTGGGTGGCACTGCAACTTTGGTTATTGGTGCAGACTTTATTCAAAACAAAAACACCTCACAAGTCATCCATTTTATTTCTGAATTCTGAAATACAGCGAGCGATATCTGAAATATTTAAGATAGAAATAATACAACTTTTTCACAGTTCACATCATAAATCTCTTCTGCAGAATACTAATCAATGGTGAATCATTATTGTCATAGTTTCTGGAGAATGATATGTATCTATGAATGACATTGAGATATACATCCCTGAACATGTCATCTGGTTTGTTTCTGGTAAAATCACTTTTTATTTGTGTGACTTGTACATTGATGCAGAGCCAGATGCCAAGAGTTTGTCTACAGAATTTTTAAAAGGGGAAGAGTGACACTGCTGGTGAGAACATTCACTGTCCCATTAGTGATCAGAGGTGAGAGAGGAGAAGAACGAGGGCTGCAGCTTAATAATGCCCTTGTGTAAATGATCTCGTCTACTCTAATATGGATATAAATCAGTCTTTTTGCAGAACATACAATGATTCTGATAAGAATACTAATATTCTAAATGTTTCAAACAATTTGTAGGAAGCTGTTAAAAAAATAGTAAAATTGATGATAAACACAGCTGTAGGTGTAGCTGTATTCCATAATTAAGAAAGCTGCATATCCTCCAAAATGAACTTATAATAAAGTTAATATCGATAATGCATCACATTGGCGTAGGAACAGGAGGGATGTCATATTAGAAAAAGCTGCATTTGTCCTACCCAAACATTATACCGTGTGAGAGGAAAAGCGCGATAGCAGCCAGCATATCAGACACCTTTCCCATTTCATGTCATGTTGTGTGTTGGGTGGCGCTGGGCCTTCTTTTAGCCTTAGTTAAGGCTTGTGTTGAAGTGCCTGTTCAAAAATAAAGATATTTTGCCTTAAAAATCGTGCTGTTTGAAAATTCTCCAATCACCAGCTTCACTGGCCTCAGCTTCCGCATCGTCGGAGCGTCTGTATGGTAGGTTAGTTAGTAGCTTTCACCAGCTTTGGACTCCGGGTCAATAACGACAGCGGTTAACGGTCCTCAAAAAACACCCTGAAATGTCAGGTAACGTTAGTCTCTGGCCGCGTCCCAAACGTATCGCCACAGTTAACTAATAGTGTGTAAAAAGTAGCACACCACCATTAGAAGTGCTCTCAGTAGTGCAGTATGTAAAGTTCCAGAGTGTGTAGTGTAGGACGTTAATGTTAGTCTTAACCTTAATGTAAATTTTTTTGTCATCTCATTTCATCCTAATGCCCAAAAAAGAGTAGCCTTAAGTCCAACTCGTACGGGATTAGTTATTCATGGTTAGGTGGGGTAATGCCAGTTTACATCAGGACATCTGTAGTGCTGAAAACTTTTAATGTAGCCGTTATTTCGTTTACCCTAACCATTTAACTTCCTGTCTTAAGTGAATGTGCCACAGCATCGCATTTCACACCAAACAGTCAGCCTCACCGCATAAAATCAAACTTCTTGTCTGCAATTTTTACATGTTCTGAGTCGGACACGAGAGACAGGACAGTAATGCTACATATCGGCCAGATTTTAGCCACAGAGAACCACGAGGCTGGAGTCAGCTTCCTATGCGCCAGCCTCTTATTCGAATTCCCGTTCCACCTTAAATGGTGTAGTATTTGGCGCTCAAAACTGCGGCACCATTTAAGGTGGAACGGGAAAATTCGAATATCAGAGACATCAGAGAACACAAGTAAGCGCTTCTTCGACTGTCTCCATACTGTTCAATGTCAGTTTTCCAGATCAATAAACAGAACTAATCCAATATGCTCAGTTTCTCATAAGCCTCTTGAGTCCCCTTCAGAATTGTTCACACGCAGCTGTTCAGCTCTGAGACTTCCGGGCAGATTCATAGTAGCAAATGTGCCCGCCCCCCAGTGTCAAACTCCCTCCTACCCCCTTGATGCTAAATTTATATTTAAAAAGCTATGATCAAATCTCACTGATCAAATAGCTATTCAGAGTATTTTCATGTCAAGAAATTATAAGTAGATAACTTCTATAAAGAGATAATAAATAGATAATTACTTAATAACATTTACCTTAAATAATGCTTTGGTTTACGTGATGGTGTCTATTTTCTAACATTTCAAGTCATGTAATTATTATGTGTGTGTGTGTGTGTATATATACACACACACATGCATACATATACGTGTGTATGCTTTTGCATGCATCATTTTTGTATAATTATTTGTATGCATCACTAATCATTTCATGTACATTTTATTTTTTTCCAGATATCTGAATGATTTCTCCTTTTAAATCCACGTGGACTGCTTCCTCTTTCACCTGCCCCATGAATAAAGAAAGAGGTAAGCAGTGGTCCTTCATGAACTTCTTGGTGGACCCTCGGGCTCCCGAAATGACGTCACTGCGTGAGTAACGCTGGCCGTGACCGCAGGGCGGCGCCACACGCGAGCTGCCGTCAACGCCTCCGTGTGTTTTCGTCCTGCCTCGCTCGGTTTCAGCTCCAGCGCCGTGCTCTCTCCATCACCTGTGCTGCTACGGGGGAGGAGGGAAGGGGCCAGAAATGTGGATTTAGATTTTAGATCGCCGCCGTGGTGGGACGGGGACCGTCCGCTTCAGCCTCGCGACTCTTCGGTATGATGCATCCTCGACTATGGAGAGTCGTGCTGGGCATGACCGTGCTCTACCAGCTCGGGATGGCGGGCAAATACGGTGAGTAGATAGATGCGCAGGGACAGGCGAGGAGGGAGTGGGCAGGAGGGAAAGAAAGTCACCCAGAAAGAACCTACGAGAAGCTAACGTGAACTTGCAGGACGTGGATTCATGAGCCTTCGATCGACAGGGCTCTAAAGACACGTAGACATTAGTTTTGCTTGCAGGCGTGATTGGGTTATCAGCTCTTGGCTCAGGTAACGCCTGTCTGTGACATACTGACAATCTCTCGCGGCTGCTGGAGGAAAAGACAGAAGGCTGTTAGGCGCCATCCATTTCGCATGTTGAGAGATCTGCATGTGTGAGTTGATTATTGAGGTCTGAAAAGCAAGAAATCATTAATCATGGAAAGAGAATACGAGGGCACGAACAGTTCTGATTGGCCCACATTGCACCAAATGGTCAGGTCGGTTCCCTGTTGAGCTGAACGTGGTCACCAAAACAAACAAAACACCGAGACTACGGTGGAGGTGACCATAATGAGCAACTGGTGGAAATGGGTGACCGCCTGAAGGTGGGAGCTTTCAGCACCACGGACAGCGACCACATTCAAGTGTGTTTATTCTGTCCCCTTCACTCGAGTTAATTATTAAAACCAGGCTGCTTCCTGTCACTGCTCTGGCCACAGTCACACAGGACACCTCAAAACTGGCGCTTTGAGGGATGCCTTTAGATATATATTAGATATTTTTATGTTTTTAAATTTCTCAGATGTTATCATGTGCTAAATCAGGATTTCATTGTTCACTGATGTCAGTTTGGTGTTTTTTTAACCAACTCTAAAGACAGACAGTCGATGAATTGTGTATGTGGCACTGCAGTCTATTTTCCTTTGATCTGGTGTGACATGTTAATGCTTCTACAGCTAATCTTCAGCTTTCGTACGTAGCTGTAGTCTTTGACAGCTTCACTTTTCTCAACACAGAAGTATGTTCACATATTGTGAGCTGCCAGCCACCCACTCTCTCCATGCTAGATACCTCTCTCTCTTTCTCTGTCTCTCTTTCTTCTGTTGTGTTAGCCCCTGCTCTCAGGGGCAGCGGTGACTCACTGTATGTATGCAGGCCCACGTCACACCCTCTCTCCATCCGTCATATATATATATATATATATATATATATATATATATATATATATATATATATATATATATATATCCACACCACCACAGGTCCCTCAAGATTCATACTTCCGACAGGCACCTTGCTCTGCTTTTGGTGAATAGTGTGCAGTGAGTGTGTGTGTTTGTGTGTGTGTGTCTGCATTTGAATTAATTAATTTCAGTCTGCAAGTTTTCAGTTTATGTTTTCGTTAACACCTTAAAGTATAAGAAACAGTTCTGCGGTTCTGTTGTTCACCTTTAAAACTACATAACTCACATATTATTTTCATAGTCTTTACTGAATGATTTGTAGTAGTATCTCAATGATCAGCCTTCGGTTTAAAAGGTTGCCTGCTTAGTTGTTATTCAAAATATTGATTTCCTTTTTTCTTCTCTTTTTTCTTTATTGGGTCATGTAAGCTTGTGACTGAGGAGCACTATCAGCATGCAGAGTGCGTCCAGTGTGAGCAGGAAGCTGTCAGATCAGAGGCTGTCTCTGCCACATTCTGTGATATGATAACATCCTCTCTCTCTCGCACCCTCTCTCCCACTCTCCCTCTCTCCATTTCCTCCTGAATCACTCATTTTGTCACACAGCTCCGATCACCACCTGTTAGCGAGTGGGGACGCAAGATTGACAAGCCTCGTCTCATCCTATTTATATTTGCCATGAATAATGAAAGTAGGATATGCTCACTGGGGCTGGCAGAAATCACCAGCACATCTGTCCATTCCCTCTGCTGGTAAATAGCTAATGTATGAATTCTCTCTCATAGAGAGCAAGAGAAAAACAGAGGGTTTTGCAAGCTTGATGACGTATATAATCAGTATAATATTTGTTTGTGATTCCTGTGATGGACTGGTGACCCATCCAGGGTGTTTTCTGCCTTCCGCCCCAGTAACCGCTGGGATAGACTCCAGCATCCCCTGCGACCTAGGAGGATAAGCGGCTTGGATAGTGTGTGTGTGCGTGTGTGTGTGTGTGTGTGTGTGTGTGTGTGTGTGATTCCAAAATCATGTTATTGTAACTGTGAATGATCCATCACCTCTGAGCAAGTAATGTTTTGAAGACTGGCATTGCATACAGGGCTGGTTTATACTGTTATATACAGTAATATTGATTCAGTTGTACTGGTGTTTGTACAGTTGTATAAAAGTTTGAACGCCCCCAGTAAAATGACTGTTCATGTTTTCCTGTTTTATGTACTTTAATATTTAATACTGTGAAAAAGTAAGTGAAAATAAGTCAACACATCCTCTGCAGAGAACACACTTAAATACAGCATTTTTCTGCCAATTTTAGTGCACAACTTTTTATTTATTTGGCGGGAGAACAGAAACTTAGCAAAATGTAGGCTGTTTGCAGTTCGCTTCAGACTGTTTTGAAGGAACAGTTCAAAATCTATAAAATAACTAAATAACCACTACATTTCCTGCAAGCCACATTATATGTCCAAAAGTATCATGACACCTTTTCTAATTTGTGAATTCATCTGCTTTCAGGTGCACCCATTGTGCTCACACAGCTAGTCTAATCTTCATAGAAAAGCATTGCCAATAGAATGAGGTGCTCTGGAGCAGCCACACCTTAAGTTAAGGTCACCATACCCAATGACAAGCGTCACCTACAGGGGTATAAATTCTCCCAACATTTGTCAGTGGAGCAGTGGAACTGAGTTCTCTGGAGTGATAGAGCTCCATCCAATATCGTTGGATGAGCTGGAGTGGCATTTGTGATCCAGAACCAATCGTCCAAAATCAGTGCCTGACCTCGTTAATGCTCTTGTGGCTAAATTCAATCAAATCCTCACAGCACTGTTCCAACATGTAGTGCAGGGGTTCTTAACCCCTTAAAATCCAAGGCATATTACATACTAAGGTTTATTATTCAGTAACTACAGGGACTTCAATGCAAACTGGTTCAGCTGTTCTTAGGTTGCAGAAGTGTGGAATAAAACTTTGGGCCCGTTGGGACTGGCCATTTCAGGACATAACCTGGGAGCCCAGGGTGCAATAAATATATATACCTTATAAACAAAAAACAAAAGAAAATAACTGTGATGTGTGACTGGCAAAAAAGCCATGTGAGCGGGAAAGAATGCAAGAATGCGGAAAATGAATTAGTTTCCAGTGAACTTCAACTTCTTGAATACGCAAACCTTGGAAGAATCAGTCAATATCATGAACAATTCTTAACCTTAAAAAAGGGGGGCACTGTGAAAAACGTTAAAAACCTCCAATCTACCATAAAGCCTTCCTGGTAGAGTGGAGGCTGAACTGCAGCAAGGTGGGAACCCTTTATTTTGAGAAGAAATGTCATCTACAAACATTTCGGCATATAGCGTACATCAGATTTGTAAGACAATAAGTGCATTTACAAGCACTTAATAATCGGATAACTGCAGAAAATCAGATTTTGTCAGTAATCTGATCAACACATTTACATGCACTTGAGTAATCAGATAATGGGAAACTCCAGGTCTACATGAGTCAGGCAGTAAGCGGATTTCTGCTTTGCAACCAGCCAATAAACTCACAGAATAAGACGTGAATGTAAAACTCGAACTTCATGGCGCGGCTTTTTTAAACATCATGCGAATTTACTTAAAAATATGATCAAACATCGTCCAGAAGATGAAGGACATTTAAATCCTTTATTTTGTTTTTGGTTTCAGTGCCGCTCCCTCTCGCGGCAATGCTGCTGGTACCACCATCTGTTCTTGCGCATACACAGACTGAGAAATCCAAAAGAAATCGGAGTATGAGTGTACATGCACTGAGAAATCAGATTACTGAGCTAAAATCCAGCTCTCTTTATTGGATCTCTTAATTGGATTTCTAGATCGGAGTATATTGTTTACATGACCACTGGAATAATAGGATAACTGCAGAAGTCCGATTATGATCGGATTATTGAGTGCATGTATACACACTTATTGTTTTAACACAGAGGACCAGCGCTCAGAGCTTGGTTCAGTAACTGTAAACATGCAAACAAATACAACAACAAATATCATCAAATACTGTGATGTTGTGATATCTTTGGAAAATACCATGATGCTAAATTTCACTAAGACTGCTCAAGTCTCCTTTCGGGCCACTCCAGGCTTTTCTGTTAACCAGTGCTGTCAGTGCAGCTTTTTTTATCTCTGTTTGTCCTGCTCCAGTCAATTGGCAGGAGTACTGCCGGCCAGCCCAGGTGATTCCCACACACACACACACATACACACACACACACACATGTTCAGACGTTGGAAGTTGGTCTGGAGCCGGCTGACCACAGTGTTTGATCAGCTGTGTCCAGCATGGCCACCAAGGCTGCTCAAACCCCTCCACTGTCCACACATCTCTGCACCTGGGAGCAAACAGGCCATCAGCTGCTGTTCCAGGGCACCATGCAGTTAAATGCTGCTCATTATTTGAGTTTAATGTGCTTTTGTTGTTGCTAGCTGGCTGCAGCTCTAACTTTGCTGCATGTGAGGCAGACGAAGAAAAACAGGTGGAAACAGATTTGAGCGGAGGGGCTGTTTACAGGCTGCCCACTGATGCAGAGCCGAATGTGTGTGTAGGGGAGAGGTCACTCACCCAGACGTCCAAAATCCCAGCTCAAATAAGAGCTGCTGTCAACTACTCACATCTGTTTACCTCTTTATAAACAGCAATGTTGGATTACATTTAACTGAGCTGGTGATTTTACTGTGTGTTTGCTGCTGTGGACTAAAAAATGAACCAAGGAGGTTGTTTAACTTACAAGGAAAAAAAATATTATTAACATTAATTGCAATTGACCTGTCCATGCTCTGTCTGTAAAGACATTGTTTGATAGCAACTGTTGCCAGGTTTGTCAAGCTTTACAGAGTATTGACAAAAAATGTGGTACAGTTAAACCTATTTGAACACTTACATTGTTATGACAGATCAAATGTCATTTATTATTGTGTAATTAATCTATCATTGGCATAGTGGCAAAGCCATTGTTTTGTTTCCATTCTGCCTAATGCCGACTAGTTTCATCAATGCAGTCAAGCTCAATAGTGTAGCATTTTAGAGAAACCCAACACAATGTAATGAGAAACCCAAACACAAAGTACACTGAAGTATTTTACTTAAGTTGAATGGGAATTTGACAGCATCTTCAATTAATGTAGTCAAATTAAATATTTCCTCCATGCCTCTGTTATCACATTAACTATTGGCTCTCTGTGCATGAAATGTAGAGACTTTGTGTTGAGCTGCTAGTAAGCAATGAGGAGTAAAAGGGGAGAGGTGAGAACTGCCATGCTGTGAAAAATGTTCACACCTCTCCACAAAGATGGTCGTGCTGAGAGAAAACAGACAGCACAGCTGCAGCTTTCTTGATATCAAAAAATTTTGCATAACATCCACAATGAAAAAGTAGCATTAAAACACAATGAAATTATAAATATTGACTTGCTTAACCCCTCTTCAAAGACAGAAATACAGTTCTTCTGTTTTTATAAATCAACCACATTTCCATTTAAATAAATTCCATCAACATTGCTGAAGAAAAAATGCATAGGTTAACTGAGGGGCCTCCAAGACAAGAGCTGGAATCCTCATTTTATAGCTACTGTGAAAATGGTTTATGTGTTTTTAGTGAAGGGCTTTGCTAATTTCTTTCCCACTTTTCTCTCTCTCTCTCCCTAGGCTGTCTGTTTGACAAGAGGCTGTGCGCAAAAGAGCAGGTCTGCTCTGATGGTGAGTGTATCAGGAATAACTCTGTGTTGGTGGAGGTTAGTGTAGCGCTCCATGCTAACCTCTGTGTCCTGCCGCTGCACTTCCTGGTCATGATGATTTAATCAGAAGCTCGGCGCTTCCTGCCTCAGGTCTGCAATATCCAGCCAGGACACAACAGGAGACTCTCTCTCTCTCTCTCTCTCTCTCTCTCTCTCTCTCTTTCTCTCTCTCTCTCTCTCTGTCTCACACACACACACACACACACACACACACACACATACACACGTATAGTCACATTGTCACACAACACACTGTTGAATAATTTACACTGTCATCCCCATCACAGGAACTTTCACTTTGCTTATTCCTTATCTGTCTGCAGACCGTGGGTGTGTGTTTGTGTATGTATTCTGTGTGCTTGAGCTGTGAACATTTTAAGTGAATGGTTCTAATATATTCAGTGGCGATCTGTGACTGTTAGAGCTAGGCCTTCAGTTTTGGCCATAAATGACAGAAACGAGGAAAAATTTCTGTGATCATGTCAGTTTCTGCTAGCACTCCTATGGGATTCTAGTGGCGTATTAGTTCTAAGCTAATGGCAATTCACATGAACATTTTTTGGCCGTTCTAGATCAAACATGTTTGAAGCTTGTAAAAGACATTCCATGTTTTATTTGAAGCTTGTAACAGACATATTACCATATATTTTATCTTGAAGCAGATTCACAGCAACTCATTCAGTAAAGAGCACTGACATAGAGCTTTCCATTTCTAACATCTGACTGAAACACATTGGGCTACCACTCATATTCACAGTCAGTGACGTATCAAGGACTTCCAGAAGGCCTAGTATGGTGTTTTCACAAAATTGATCCCACCCACTGGAAATCAAAATATGATTGGATGATTCTACTGTCAGTTTCTTGTTATGTTGGTGGTTAATCTGATGTGTTATGCATTCAGTTCAGTTTATGAAATTCTAACCAATGGGAGAGCTGACTTGGCTGTATCTACCTAGATACCACAGAGAAAAAAACATTCTAATTGGACCAGTTTCCCTTGGGCACTTCAAGAATTTAACCCTTTTGTTTCCAACAGCTCTATAGTGAAATAAGAAAATGTCTACAATACATGCACAGTTTAAGTACATCAAGCATAATTATTCTATTAAATAAAAATGACCTAAAAATTACAGAAATTTATTTTTTATAAATCACAGAAATTTTAAGTTCATCCCTGATTGTGTAGACGGCTCTGAGCATTACCCACTGAATATGTGAATATATGTGGATATCTACAAGGGTAGAGCATTTTGTAATGTAAGAACAGCAACATTTTAAAAACATCTTTAGGACAGGAGCATCAACACTTTCTCTTTCTGTACTGTGGTTTGGTCGTTATTTATTTGAGATGTAACACTGCGAGTTTATTAAACTGCTGTGAGTGTCACAGGCCATTTGCTGTCTGTCACCTGCTCCTCTCTCTATCTCTCTCTCTCTTTCTTTTTTCCTCTAACCCTCACCAAGCCCCTCCCCCGACTGCCCTCTATCTCCATGGTAACCCTGACATCATCAAGCCCATTGCCTCTTGGTGCACGCCTCCACAATCACTGATGAGTCACTACCCTACGCTTACGCACAGGCGCTGTGTTTCTGCTGCACATAGAGACGCACACCCACACATACACACGCACACAGACACATACACTTTAACAAACACACGTGTGTACCCATGAAACCAGTTTAATCACTGCTCTTGTGCAAATGTTTTTAGAGAATGATCCTGAAAATACATTGGCTATTCTGTGAGTGTAGCAGGTCACAAATGGCCAAGGCTTTCTTCTCTCAGTCTGATGAAACAGGGTGACAGATGTATAGCTACACTTTGTGCTGTATGTGTGTACATTATATTCTCTTAGAGGGATGCACTGATGTGAATTATGGGCTGATGCTGATATTGGATATTTTCTATGTACCTACAGTTCTGTGCAAAAATTAGAGACCAGTTTTCATTTATTTAATTTCCGGTGAAAAGTACAAGTGCAGGTTATTAATTTTAGGAGAAGTTTAAACATAAGATTATTTATGTGAGGAAGGGGGAGGAAAATAAGTGAAAAACAGGAGCTTCAAAAACTCAAGTCCAAAATATTATTAAACGATATGGAGAAAATGGGACTCCTGAATACTATGCAAGACCTTGTAGTGCACCAAAACTCTCCCCATCCAATAAACAGCACTTAAAGCTTTCATCTTTGAGAGAGAGGGGAAAATCGAGCTCCACTCTGGCTTCAGATCTGGAAAAAACCCACAGGTGTTTCTGTCCATTAAATAAATAAAGGATGGTCTCTTACTTTTGCCCAATACTGTTTCAGCCCAAACCGATACATAAATATTCATAAAACGTATAAAGTTGGCACTACATCTCCCTGGTTTAATATTACTGAGAAATATAGAATTATTCATTTGGGTTATAAATGCAAGAAAATGAATGAAATGCCGATATTTTACCACAGTACCTCAGTGTCATCTAAATTTTGTGCTCATCTGGAGTACAATAAGTACATCATTAAATATTGGTGTGAAATATCTGTCAAATCTAAACATCTGATGCTGATTTTTTTTCAGCAAAAATCTGTCGATACTGATATGATTCCGATATTGTTGTGCATCCGTGTTCTCTTATGTTATGTTCTCTGCAGCAGCCTCTCTGACAGCTACACACACTCACATATGCATGCACACAGAAGCAGGTGCTCCAGACGTGCCCTCTTAACATATGCACAGAGCTGCGCTCACACCCATAAACACACATGCATACGCATGAAAGAGTCCAAACATAGCAGATGCCCTGTTTTAATGGTGCTCTTCTCATCCTTCTGAACTTTTCTAACTCCTAACTCTTCTAACAAATCTAACATAAATCCTCAGAATCCTATTTTCTAGTTGTAATCCGTATTTTTGTCAGTTGTAAAGCTCACTCTCTCCATTATGCCCTCCATTAGGCATTTAATAGCTCTGGGAGCTGAAACCTCTCCTCTGAACACCTTTTCAGATAATTAAGAGAAAAAAAAATGAAACAGTGGTTTCCCTTGTTGCCTTCATGACGGCTTTGTCGCAGCAGATAATACTTTACTTATAAATTTTAAAAAAGTTATGTTCTCTGACTTTTCTGATAACATAGAAAATGTTTTTAAGAGCCCTTTCTTTGACCTGATCACTCAGAATCACAAGAAGTTCATTTTGTAAAGGAAATGTGCATACCTTAAAAACATATCAGTAAATCAGAAACTGAAGGATGATGCAGAGACTCAGTTGTCAGTCTGTAAGCAATTTTATTCCTATTTTAACAAATTCCAAGAAAAAACTGTTTTATACTATTATGAATAAAAAAGGCACACAGTGTCACTAAATCTTCAATTTAGCCAAGTCCACGCGGTGCTTCACCTCTATAAATGATCTAAAAAGCCTTATTCAAAGGCAGAAATTAGTAAACAAATATGAGTGTGCTATGATGAGTTTGGATATCCCTACATCAAAAGAATCTTCCATATTCCCTCAGGTTTTTTAAGACCTGTGCAACACGCTAATGTATGTAATATTTTAGTAACTAGTGAAAAGTTAATTGTCTAAAATGTCCATTCTAAAGTTCATGATCACATTTAATTTTGTCATCACAATTTTTCAGCTTGTGTGTCATCACTTAAACACTTGGCCGGGGTCTTCTTATGCCAGATTATGTCTCATATTTCCATATCCGTGTGTAACTGATCCATCTCCCCCCATATAGTGCCATTCTCCTGTTTCCCTCCATCTATAAATAGCTGTGAGTCATATCAGCTCTGGATGGAGAAATGGGGTTGAGTTCAGACTGAGAGCTCGACCGCTTTCAGGGATCAATTCCAACGGGATCTTTTTTTAAATGCTACGTTTTAGTCAGGGATGACTCAGTGGTTTGCATGTGGGCAGTGAATTTGGGTATGCAAGAGTATGGGAAAACTCTGTTGAGAAAGTCTCATGTTGTTTTCTTTTACATCATGTGTCTTTTACTTTACGTTTTTATTTGTGCGTTTATAAAGAAGAGTTACTTTCTGGTAAGCGTTGAACTACATAAATTAGCTGCACTACTGTTTACTAGATTACTCGAGTGACTGTGAAGCTACAGAAATATTGATAATTGAATTAAATCTCATATAAAGCTCCTCGTCTGATACTGTGCAGGGAGGACACACATGAAAGAAAGCCTGCCCTATGAGCTGCAATAGATTAATAATATTAGTAATAGAAAAAGTAAGAAAAACCAAAATAAACTTGTAAAATACAGAATAAAACAAGTATATATGCTCACAATGACAAGTCTCACTCTCTCTGTCTCTGTCTCTCTCTCTCTCTCAGTATGTGTATATGTGATGTGCTAATGCTTCTGCGTATTATGTGTTACAGACAGGCTATTTGGTCAGTGTCGGAGCTCCAGGCTGGATCAGGTTCAGTACCAAGTGTCTGTGCCTGTTCTCCAGAGACTGCAGGAAGTACTTAAACAGCTGATGATGCAAGGTGCACGCAAGCACAGCCCATTCAACTGTTATTACTCATCACTCATTTAGAGAGTTCTCTGAGAGTTAAATATACCTGACAGCCATCAAGTAGTTAAAACATGTCTATGCACACCTACTCAAAATGACTCATGATTTTATTTTAAATTTTGTTTTTGAGATCCTGCTACATGAATCCTGTAACCAAAAACAACCACATGAATAAGAAAGTCAAGGCATTTGCTACCACACTTCTACCAGCTGGAGCTGTTTAATTTTCATAATATATCAAAATTCACCACAGACATGTTTTACTGTTTTTAGTTGTACAAATTTTAACCACATTAAGCATCTGTAAACCTCACATGAGTTCCTTCACTACATAACACATTAGTCTCATATATAGTAATTGCTGAATGATAATAATAAAAATACTTTTTAGGATTAATAACTGCATAATAGGCCTACAGTTGCAGGGTAACCCACATTTCTGACACATTCTCTGTCTGTTCTGTTGTGTGTGTGTGTGTGTGTGTGTGTGTGTGTGTGTGTGTGTGTGTGTCTGTGTGTGGGCAGGATTTTCCTGGCAGGATGACATCACCCAGCACATTATAGCAAAGGAGCTGAGCCGTGTTCCTCACTCTCGGGCTCAAACCCCTCAGCCAGCACAGTGAGTGGCAGCAGCTGCAGCAGCAACAATCATAAGCATTAGAATCTCTGTGCTATATTCTGGCTATTATAATACAGATCGATGCATCAATGGCAGTGCCAACAATGACCTTTTCTATGTTTGTGGCTGAAACTGTTAGCTTGACATCCAGGATTTACATCCTCTATACGTAACAATGGTTTGTCAGTTCAGCCTAAAAACATTACTTTGTGTAGTAACAAGAAATTTAAATGGTTTTATTCAACTCAGATAAATACTGTGAATGAAACCATGCAAAGCAAAATAAGGTTAGACTATAAGAAAAGGTAGAATGATTTAAGATATAACTGTGTACCTTACATTCGCTTTTCCTGGGGGGAAAGTGCATATTTGTACTTTCTTCATATCCTTTCATTTTAAAACAGAAAAATACTGTAAATAAACCCTGTAAATACAAGGTGTCCTGCAGGGGTGTTCAGTTTTGGTCTTGGAGGGCTGGTATCCAGTACAGTTTGGTGATTCTCCGATTCAAAGCTCTGAATGACTGGAATTGAACACCTTTCATGTATGGAGTGTGCAATGCAAGTTAAAATATAATTGCAATAGAATATAGTTGCTATGTTTCCTGACTAAAGGTACTGACGATGTACTCTTGAGGTTTATATCCCCAGTGACAATTTGATACCTTCTGGGAGTGTAGTGCAATATTTTACATTAATAAAAGCCCCAAAACCAATCTTGCCCTGGTCCACTTTTTACAATGTGCTAAAATTAAAGGGTCACAAATCTTTCTTGGCTTGGACATACATTTCCAGGAAAAAATCTTTAATTGGTGCTTAACCCCTTACATGGTCAGGGCCCATCAATGGGCCCAAAGTTTTATTGCACAGTTCTATTACATAAAAATAGCTCAACCAGTTTGCACTGATGTCTCTGTAATAAGCCTGGGATTTGAAGGTGTTAAACCTCTAGAAGTTTTTCACACTTCACACATCTCACATTTACAAAATTGTTTCTTCAAGGGCTACCCATTGAAAGGTGCTTTAGGGAAACAAAAGTAGTTCTTCTATGACATTGGATCTGTTTGTCTGTTCTATAAGATCCTAATACTGTACCTGTAGTAGAAACTTCACTGTAATTCACAGTGCACATTGCTAGCCAATATTTGAAGTGTTAGTGCAAAAAAATGTTTTTTTTTGCGTTCTGTACAGGTCTACACAACATGCTAATAAGAAGGCCTATGCCAGCTCTAAATCGGAACCCACTGTTGCCCAGAGCTATTTGGATTATATGATTTTAGATCCTCGTCAGTCCTCATCTCTACGCATGCAAGCTTTACCGCTGGAGCCATATGCCTACCTGCAGGTACAACTACAGATGTTGTGTGTGTATGTGCGCATTTGTGTTTTTATGCATGTGTGTGTGTGTGTGTGTGGGTCGGAGAGTGGATCGGAGATGTGTACATGTTCCCCACTTTCTGGTTAGAGCCCCCAAGGATAACAGAAACATGATGTCAGTGCTTTTAATTACAAGAAAGAAGAGACATATAAACTTTCATGCTCTCATTAAGCAGACAGCTTCCCTGCATTTATGGATGTAGCACCACTGGAGCCAGATTTAAGAAGTTCTGCATTTCCTGGAAGGCAAAAAAAAAAAAAACAGACAAACCCATCGTCCCATCTTATTTTTTTCTGACCTTGTCTGCAAATGCTTTTCATGTGAAGTAAGTGTCTGTATCTTCCCACACTAGACTGGTCTTTGTTTGTCCTCTTACAGGATGATATCAAACACTCCCTACATCCGCATGCCGGCGTGGGCTACCAGCGCCCCTCCTCACGTTCCGGCTCACAGCAGCAGCGAGACAGAGAGCGGCAGCTACTGGAAGATGCTGTCTCCCTCTACCTCTCCTCTGCACAGCCCTCGTTCCGCCATAGGGGGGCAGCAGGCCTCCCTGCCGCCCTTTATTATGAGGACTTGGACTTCCCGCTGGATTATGAAGAGGACTACACCCTGCAGGAGCGACCCAGCTCACGCCAGCGCACCAACAAAAAGGTTCCGCAGGACTACAGCTCTCTGTCTGGACTGGACGGTAAGCGGCTATATGTCCACACTGTGAAGGGGGAAAGGGGCCAGCTTTTGTATTATAATGCAAGCATAAAGCTTTTTGTCTAGGCCCGCATCATAGTTGCAACGCTTTTTTTATTCATTATTCATGGTGATGCTTTAGTTTGAGAAGAGAGAATAGATTTAGATAAAATCTATAGATTTTGATAAGATCTATTACCTTTTTTAGGTTTTGGGAATTCTTAACCCCTAACCGCAATCACTACAGTAATATGAGTGTGTAATGTTATTTACGGTGTTTTAGGTTTTTGCCTAAGTGCGTGTGTGTTATAGATGAAGCAATGGTGCAGCTGGCCACATTGTTGGAGAGGTTGGGGATGACTCCACAAGACCTGAGCCCTCAGCAGTTGAACAGATTGGCCCTCCTACTGCAGTTTATGAAGACGGACAAGATCACCAATAGCGGTATAACACAAAACGAACGCAATCATACATGCACCTCTTCACAGATGCACACAAAAAACAATTCTAACACCTAATATAAAAATCGTATGGTCGATTTTTTAAAATCTCAAGCCACTTTTTTAACGAGTCATTAGTTTTAAAGTGATCAAGCCGAGGAACGTATTTATTTAACCGTGCTATTTCTTATTTTTTAATCCTCAGATAACCGTCCGGGAACAGTCACAGTGAAAGAGGTACAGTCTAAAATACTGGCACATTATCCAAAGGTTATTTTAAATGTTGTGCTAAACAGACTTTCTGGTAGCATCATTTTAGTGTTTAGAACATCTTAACTGTTCGAGACAGCAGTCGGAGTGAGAAACTCACCACTAAGGTCTAATAATTAATATTTATGGGTACAATGTTGTTCCATTCCAACAAGTAAATACAATGTAATAAGATTATGATCAATGTGTGTAAAATATTAAGGGCTGGCTCAAATTAAATTTCATTACAGGGGTACAGTGTGAGCTCCTTAATTTACCATTAGGTCTTTGTTATCCTGCTCCTGTCATGTTCTGAATGAAATGAAGTATATTCTCTCCTGGTTTATTTTCACAGACAATTGTAGAGGGCAGTGATAAAGTGTCACAGAAAGGTGCCAAACCTCTGTCTCCTGTTGTGGTCGTACCCTCTGCCACCGGGCCCCAGCTGGCCCCTACCCAAGCCCCAACTACACCAGCCCCAGTGTCTGTGCCTCACGGAGCCGGTTCCACCACACAGGGACCCATCGTGCCTATGAAGGACATGGAGCTGAAAGAGAAAGGTTCACCAGGCCTGAAAACAGGAGCCAAGGATGGGACCAACATCAGAGAGGAATATGGCTACATAGTCACGAACCAGAGGTACTAGACTGATTTAGTTTAACCCTTAAAAACCCTAAGGACCCTGTATAAGGTCCACTCTTCAGTTCCCCAGTCTCAGAGAGTAAAAAGCTTGCATATTAGTTTTTTTGTAGCAGTTACTTAATAATAAGTTTAGTATTAATAACTAAATATTAAGCCTAGGGTTCAAGGGTTTTAATTCACTTTCACATTCAAAGCCTTTTTCATAGGAATAAATTAAGCTTGCCCAAGCTAAGGTAGAATTTTCACTGGAAAATCATTACTGACAGCGCTATGTTGTTCAACACTCAGCTTAGTGACACAGAAAAGCTTGCAGTGTAAAGCTATAAAGTGAAAAGTGTTTATGATACATACAATACTAATAGTAATTATTATTTGAATGGCATTAAATATACCACAATACCTACCAGATGCTGCTGTTTTGATAATGGGGGCATCAAATTAGAGATTGTTAGATCAATGTCATCTAGAAAAGCAAAATGAAGAAATGATTGTTCTCTGATTTTTTTGACATAATAACTAACAAATTATATAGCAAATACATATTTTTAAAGTGCCCATATCCTGGTAATCTGAATTTTGCTACCTTTTTATAATTAAAAGGGGTTGATTTATTATTAAAGTTTCAAAATGTATTCCATACATTGAAAGAGCAACCCCTTTTTAAATTTTTGTGATGTCACGAACACATTTACATGTATTCGTTTATTCAGCCTAAAGTCGTTTAGCTCCATCCATTCATGTTGAAGTTATAAGGAGTGTTTAGTCTGGACTCCTTTTTAAATGAGACAGCCTATCAGATCAGAGGTCATTTACATATGTCAGTCCTAATGGCACAGTAACAAAATCAGTATGTGTAATCTTAAAGGTATAAAAAATACATTTGAAAATTATCATGTAAAAAATGAATTGCTGTTTTTGGTACATAAAGCCATACAAATGTCACAAGTGGATCTCAGGGAAACACAATAATAAAATACAAGAAAAATGTAGGATATGTACCCTTTAAATGGCATACTACTTTCTAAGGATGCTGGTTTCTGAGGATGCTGTGTGCCTATATGTGTGATCTTCCAGTCCTCTGAGTCTGTATGACGGGGTGAAGCTGTTAGAGACACTGGCAGAAAGGATCCACCTCACGACAAGCAGCTTCATCAACATCAGGTACAGTCAGTGTACGTGTGTATGTGTGAATGTGCGTGTTTAAGGCTTGAAGGAACAGGGACACACAGAAGGCACCAAAGAAAGACAAAGTGTAATCCATTAAGTGTAATCTCAGCTGCCCAGAGCACATCCATCAGCGGCTGTGTGTGTGTGTGTGTGTGTCTGCAGCGTGGTGGGGCCTGCGCTGACGTTCAGGATCAGACAGAACTCTCTGAACCTCAGTGCCGAGGACGTGGCCAATAAAGCAGGTGAGTGACAGGCTCTCTCTCTCTCTCACACACCTTCTTCTCTCTTCACTCTCATTCCATCCTCAATCTACAGGCAATTTAACAAACAGCCTGAGAGAGAAAGAGAAAGCGAGAGAGGGGAGGGGCCAACGGCATTAGCTGTGGCTCTAATTATTTCAAACATCACCTCCTGCTCTCTAACATCTCGCAAACACTTCAGAAGCATTAGCCTACTTTCAAACACTTTTCACTGAAAGGATGTGGCTGGAAAATTTGTCTACATCAGATACATCATTTAGTGCCTCAGACTGAGATGTCACAATTTGCGGTTGTTTTTTTTTTCTTTTGGCGACTGCATTTCATATTTGCTCAAATGACCGTGTGACTCATCATTTTTGCATTTATTATGCATGAAAGTGATTATGAACAATTTACTTCCCTTTGCTCCTCAGTGGCTGAGAAGAACTTCTTGGAGGGAGAGACGGGTCTAAAGATCATTCAGACAGGAGTAGGAGAGGTGGGTGCTGTTGTTTTTTTGTCTGTGTGCTTGCTTCTCTCTCTCTCTCTCTCTCTCTCTCTCTCTCTCTCTCTTTCTCTTTCTCTTTCTCTGCGGAGATGCCCCTTTTTACGTTGCAAATACACATTAATTCTTACTGACAAGTATATAGATTGACCGTTCGCTTAATTGGTTTGCAAAGTGGGCCACTCATTCTTGGTACGTGTGTATCTATTGGTGATGCCGGACTCATTATCCATCCATACAACTAAGCAGGGAAGGTTCTAATTAGTATTTATTCGAATCGGTATGCCATTTCATCCCAGGATGTAAATCACATATTGTGACATAGTATTGGCTAATTCTTTTCAGATTCACATCACATTCAAACAAATTCAGCAGGCAAGAAGGGTGCAGAAAAAAAAGAAAACGAAAGAAAGAAAAACGCTAAAGCCGTTTCTCTGTTCTTGGCTGTCCGATTCTGTCTCTACTGTACCGTTCTCCCGCCTTAAATCCTCCAGTTTTTTCCCCCGCTGCTCCTCAGTTCTCTCCCTCACCCACTCTTTCTCTCCGTGTCCCCTGCCATTCACCCCTCTGCCATTCTTCTGGCCCTTCTCTTTTTGTTACCTCTGCCGCTGACCCCTCCCCTCTCCCCCTTTCTGCCTCTTACTCTCCCTACCCCACTCCCCCCTTTTTCTCCCGTGGCCTTTGTGCTCGCCGTGCATATTCAAGCATTCGCCTCTCTCTCCCTCGCTCGCACTCTCTCTTTTCACTGCGTACAGCTGTTGTGGACCCTTGAATGCGGCCGAGCGGCTTTTGTTGCATCCGGCTGCTCATATTTTTAATTATTCTGCATTGTTCTGTTGTGTGGCTATGACACTCTTTGCTTTGAGATGTGTAATGTATGAATGATGTGTGTGCGTTTATCTGTATGTGTGTGTGTGTGTGTGTGTGTGTGTGTGTGTGTCTGTGTGTGTCCTTCTTTTGTGCCCTATCTTTCAGTTTTCTCTCTTTCTCTTTCTCGCTGCCTCAGTAATGAGACCTGGTTGCACCTGCTTCTTTTTTGTCTCTCCATTATGAGGGCCAAATCCTCTTCTGCACCTCCCCACCATCACCTCTCTCTCTCTTTCTCTCTCTCTCTCTCAATCTCTCTGCTTCTATCACTTCTCTTCGTTACTGAATTGAATTGAATTCATGTATATGGTTCGCTCTTCGTACTGAGTTCTGCCTCCTGCAACCTCCCTCAGATTATCCAGCAATCTTGTTAAGTGTGATATCCACTAAGCAAAGCATGTGGCTCGCATACACTACCATAACAAAACACAGAATTCACTAAAAGTGCTGGAGAGACTGTCAGTTCTTTGTAGTGTCAGAGTGTAGCATGTATTTGCGCACGGGACGTGGCATTTTAAATTTTACCAGTTTAAATATTTATCAAGGCTCACAGTATTTATCTCATTACTGGTTTCCCTGCAAGTTATCACTGTTTAAAGTTCACTATTGCTCTAGTCATATTTGAGGGGGGACATTTTCCTGCTTATGTACAACACTCAGCAGTCTGCTGGGTTCTTTTATTATGTTATTACCTAATGACTGGGGTCATTCCAGATGTGCTAGAGTGTACTAACTGGTAATTCATATGAACCCCCTTTTTCTGCACCATCACACTTTTTTACATATCCTATTCTTTTTATTGTCTCCTCATGCTCTAAGCACCCCCCTCCCCTCGGACAGCCCCCTCCCTCTTAGCCATGAGCAACATGTGGAGCAGGGCTGTGGGATGTGGGGCCTTCAAATGAGCCAGCAGCAGCTCACGGAGCCACATTCGCCCTCCTTTTCCTGCTGCTTCCATTCATTCCATTTCATTTGTCCCTCACGCTTCTCCCTGGCTTTCTTCTTACAAGATCGCCACACAGGGACGTAATGTTTAATATGCTGTTCGCAAGGTTCCTATGCTTGGGCTTTACGGAGGCTGCTGAGTGTAGATTCAGTTCTGCGTTGGGAAGAGAGACCGTCCATGCTGGTGTAGTCCCGGTGCAGCGATTAATCCGGGACATGGGTGTTTGTGGGCTTACATGAGCCTTTTCTACGGATTGATACTAAGGTAGGGCTGAAGTGCATTATTTTAGCCTACTTTTGTTTTTTATTAAGTCAGGAATATAGTTATAAGGAATTTTGTGTGTGTTTATAATTGCTTTCTTTAATGTAGCTCATACTACACTTAGGCTACACATTAGAATTAAATTTAATTCAAGTAATTATAAGAGATCCACAAAGTTAAAAGTGTACACTTACAGGGTTGTATTAACAGCTGGAAGGCTCATTTTAAGTCCAGGTGGAAAGTGTAAGAGTGAAATCAACATTGTAGATTTTGCCACATATATTTTCAGATTGAAATTTTTTTTTTCATGCAGACTGTGAGACAGCAAGTGGCTTTCAGGCTTGGTGCAGTCACCACATCTGCCATCTGATATAACCCAGTTAGTCTGATTCAGTGCTGAATTGTTCTACAGATCACTTCTTTCTCTTCTACTGTGTAAACTGTGATCTGGGATAAGCCTGAGCACATCTGGGTCTATTTCTGTGAATAAAAAATAAAAAAATTGTCCTACTTACAAAATTTATTAAAAGATAAAGCTCTAGACAAAGTGTATTTTTTTGGATTATTGAAAAAAAATAATAAAAATTGAGACACAGCAATAGTTTGTATGAGTGTTTTTAGCATATCTGAAAGGGGCGGAAATGGTTAGTTGTAAGGTAAAGCCTGAACCTGCTCATAGTGTCATAAATTGTAATATAGAAGAAGCATGAATGGTTCCCATTCTTTGGCTTTGATTTATTACCCCAGTTAGTAGTTGGACCACGCCTTGATGAATTGTTGATTCATTAGTTGTGTGTTTGTGTGCAGTGTAGCTTGTAAGGTGTTTGTGTAATAAATTTGCAAAGAATGTGGTTATGTAGGGAACTCTTATGAGACACGCACCAATAACTGGCTTTATATTATTACTATTACTGTTTTATATTATTAAATCTATGAATAAATAAATGATATGATGGATAATACTGCTGCTGAATTCAATTTAACTGTTACATTTAGGGGTATTCAGAAAAGGTTTTTTTGAGTTGTTTTAAAGATTTCATTTCATATTCTTTAAAATTCAGTTATCAAAGAAATACCGTTGCTTGATGTGCTTCTGTACCCACTCCAAAGTGTGATAGCGCTAAAATGAGTAGGTAGCAATCAATCAAGCAACATCAACAAAATAACACACTGTTTGAATCTTCCATATGGCGTTCTAGACCTTTTCTTTTTAGATGGTTCGCTAACATAGCGTCTCCGGTGCTGTGTGTGTGCGTGTGTGTTTGCATATGTACATTTGAAATTAAACACTGTTACTGAGCACTGAGCATAGCATCTCGGATGGTGATGTCAGGTGGATTGGTTGCTGTGGAAACCAGGCAGTGCAGTCTGGATGAGTGAGATGATGTAATGCGTTTGTAGCCGTTGCAGGTGCCCCGTAGTTCACTGGATTTCTGTGGGTTTCATTTAGGAATCTGCGCTTGGATTATCTTTAAGTGGGAGGCCGCATCAGGCTTATTATCGCCCTCATCCCATCCTGTGCTTTCTAGTCTCACTGTGAGTTGTTGGTTTTAGTCAACACATCGTGCACGTTTTCAAATTTCCTCCAAGCTGTCTGGCTTTTGAGACATTTGTAATGTCAGAACACATCTAAGCAAAATGTTCCACTGTAGACTGTTAGGGATGCATTTTCTCTGTGAGAATAATATCAATTATGTTTTAGGGAATTTTCCAAGACATGTATGTTTTATGGTTTTATGTTTATGTTTTTTTGGAAAGGTTTTTTTGTTTATCGTAAATATATAGTTGATCTATTCCTAGTTGAGGACAGTGCTGCGGCAGAGAGAATTCTGACGAGTCATGCCCCGAATGCTCCAATCAGATAACAAGGCAGCTTTACTCTGCAGCTGAAATAAAGTTTCTAGGACTGAATGGGGAGAGATAAAATGCAGACTGCTTACTGATGGGATATGAGATTCGCTGAGATCTCTGAAAAATGGCTCACACTCAATTTCTGCACCACTCCGTCTATTGAGATGCAGATAGGGAAGCTCTATATGATCTTAACCCCCAAATCACCCAAAACATGCACACACACACACACACACACTCACAATATGTGTGTGAGTGTGGCTGAGGTTAAAAGGCTCACTTGGGGTCAGAGGGGGTTATGGGGGATGGTCTAGAGGTCCTGGGACACAGCTTATTATTCTATCAGTTCTCAAGGAACAGATGTTATCACCAACAGACGTGCTCTGCTTTAGTATGCTTTCAATAAACATCATATACATATAATTTACTACTTTTACAGGGCTTTATCTTCTTCTCTGGAACCCCAGGCTTATTATCTAGTAATATAATCTTAAGACTTGAGTAATATAAAAGATTGTAGTTAACAGGTCATTGGAGTTTTAACTCAGTGTGTGTGGAGTGGATGAGTGGTATGTGTAAATGACTGACATTCTCCTGTGTCTCGTGAAGAGATATATTGGTTTGATTCAGTGAGTACTGGGGAGTTTACATGCAGTGCATTCAGTTTCTGTAGTGTTCCCTCCAATTTTCTCACAGTATGAATGCTTACTAGGCTGCTTTTGAAGGGCCAGATTAGGCCTAGTCCTTCATCAAATAATACCTTCTATATACACATTATCCATTGTGTGTATATATATATATATATATATATATATATATATATATATATATATATATATATACACATATATCACATTATTGTTCAAAACCTTTGGAAGGCTTTATTTATTCATTAAGATATGCCTAGTTGCAGAGTGCATGGAGTACGATGTGAGTGCAAATGGGTGGTCAGCATGTGTCTCTTTTGCAGAGAGAAAGTGAATTGTGTTTTATCAGCCACTCAAAGCTCTTTTACTCCTTCTGTGACTACGCTCTCACTTCTTACACTCCTCCATGCCATTGGCCTACGCTTCTCCCTCGCGCTCCCTCTCTCCTCTCTACCTCCCTCGTTTCTCCGCCTGGCCCTCTCGGACCCTGGGGGGCCTTTGTGCTCCTGTCCTAAACCAGCTCATTTTTCCTGCCTGCGCCCCTGCTTCATTCTGAAAGCCTGTCACTCTTCCTTTCGGGGGCCTCTCTGGAGTAGCAGGTGAGGCACCCCACGCCCCGTCCCCTTCAACCCCACCCCCCATCCCCGATTCCCCCCTCACCCTTGTATTGTCCCTCTGTCCAGTTGCACACTGCCCACCCCCGCTTACCCCCTTACATACCCCCTTATCCACTCTCCGGAACATTCTTCTGGCCTTTCAAGAGAAAGGGCCGAACTTGGGGAGGGATGAAGAAGGGGGACAGAGACCCGCGCTGAGAAACGTGAGGAATGAGTGGAGAAGGGAGAAAAAAAAGGGGGGAAGAGGGTGTGAAGAGGACTGAGAAAAAGAAGACAGAGGGGGTGGGGGGTCAGGAATGGTTGGTGAATTTTGAGAAATGCTGGAAAGAGGGAGAGGGTGCCTTGACATCTCCGTGGTGAGACAGAAGGACGTATTCACACTCGTCTCTCATTGCTAACTCAGCGTGCTCACTTCTTCGGGTGGCTGTGATCACCGTTTGTCTGCAGGCAGTTCAGCGAAACTGCTTTACATATCCATGTTCAGTTAAAGCCCAGTTTTGTTTTAGTTCGATTCAGTGAATTTGTATTAAATGCACTAGTCTCAGCAATGTGAAAAACATATTAATAAAAAAAACACTTCAAACATGTATTTTTTTTCCCTCTTATTTTCTCCCACTATGATGCTCTCAAGGCATGTTTTTGTAGCATCAGATTAGGCCTAGTCCTCCATTAAATTATACTCACTTCAAAGAGAGGCTTAATCTGTGTCCATCGCACCAGCTGTCAAGGTTTAGACATGGGATTAGTGATTGAGTTTATCCTGGGTGTGCACCGACCAATTGGTTTAGGCTCAATAAAAGTGTGTAAAAATTGGTCTTATATAATCGAATTATTTTTAGAAGTTGTCCAGCAAAATTCTGTTGATTCATAAATGCGGCATCAAATGTCTATGATGCAGGTTAAATTCATTTTCATTTTATGTTCTTTTTTCATCCCTTTTTTGGCTATTCTAAGACACATTTTGTTTAATAAGTAATGACTCCAGGCAATATCCTCTCTGTTCCTCTCCTTTCATCTCCTGTCCTCTCTTGTCCTCGCTTTCTCTCTCCTCTCTCTCTCTCACTCTCCCTTATTCTCTCTTTCTCTCACCTCTCTTTCTTTCTCTCCCTCATGGCTGTGGATTACACAGAGCATTCTCTTGTTGCCATGGCAGCACCAGGGCCTGTTCTCCCCTGCGGAGGCTCCCAGACACCATGGCAACATCAACAGGCAGGGGTTGAAGGCAGGGGGCTGAACACATTTTACCTCTCTCTCTCTCCCTCTCTGTCCTTTTTTTTTCTCTCAGGAAATGAGTAAGAGTGGCAAAAGAGAATCAGAGAGAGAGACAGAGAGAAAGATACAGACAGAGAGAGAGAGAAACAGTAAGAGAGTAAGAGATCTCTCCTCTGGCTGATTAACCCTGCGTTCAGGGGAGGGGTCTCCTTAATTGTTTACTTGTTGGTAATTATGCGAAGGGGGCGAGGGGCAGGTGACTTTTGCTAATTATTTCAGAGGGTTGAGGAGGGCTGGCACGTGGCGGTATGTGTGTGTGCGGGTGAGTGTGTGTGTGCGTCTGTGTGGGTTGCCCGGGTAATTAGTCGTTGATGATGGCGCTGACATCCAGCTTGTTTACACAAACAGAGAGAGAAACAAAAGAGACAAAGAGAGAGAGAGTGCGAGGGAGACTCTCTGTTAACTGTGCCAGAGAGACCACCCAAAGCCCGCATCTAGCATGCTCTCTCGTCCTCTGTGCTGCTGTTCCAGACACTTTCGGCTGGGCCTTTGGCTCCTCGCTGCATTCACGAATAATTGTTTCTTTTTTGGTGGCAAAGTTGAGCCCAAATGGCTGTTGAAAAATACATGGTTCTTTATTCCATGTTTTCCCTCTCAACTCTCGCCTCATTGTTTAATTGTTCAGTATAACACTGAGAGCGCAGATGCAGCTGAGTAGATTAAATTTACATTTAAATTGATTTTGAATGTTTAATTACAATAATATGACTGGTTGAGATTAAGAGGGTGTCCTATTCATTTGCCAGGTTTTCTGTTCCCCCTCTCTCTCTCTCTCTCTCTCTCTCTTTCTCCCTGTAGAGGACTGAGGGACTTCCTCAAGCCACTCGGATCGGAGATGGTTCACGTGGGGTCGTCCTGACCATGGTTGCCATGGCGTGTGTGGGTGCGGTAGTGTTGGTTGCCCTAGCAGTCGCCTGTCTGCGTCATCATGCCCGTCAGCTAGCCTCAGGCAAACTGGGACTGGGCCCTGAGGCTGGAACTGAGACTCACTTTGATTACCAGGTGGGAGTGCAAATCACCCCACAGAATTACAGAAAAAAAAGGAAGAAGGAAAAAAAGGGAGCCAATTTGGAAAATGTGTGTCAATTTGTGTACCATAAATTTTCACTGTAATAACAAAATCTTGTATCCCTGAAATAGTAATATTAGCAGAGATTAACAGTGTAATGATTTTAAGCGGTGCCTTAATGTAGCAAGATTTTTTTTGTACATAATTTTGGACAATAATGGTCCATTCATCATGAAATGTGCAAACAATGTAAAGGGCAGCTTGCATTTGCATAAAAAAAAAACAAAAAAACAAAAGGTTTTGATATGACAGCATCAAAATAGTAGATATTACACTCCTGTACTGGACAGGCTTGTCATATTATGATGTAGTCAAAAAGGTAATATAATCCTTGTAAGCAGTGCTTTTTATCTGTGTCTGTGGCTTTCCTGCACGTGTCTCAGGAGCTCTGTCGGCAGCACATGGCAGCGAAGTCATCATTTAGCCGTCCGGAGCCGGGCGGTCGCAGAGGTACAGACACATCCCGAGTGAGCAGTGTGTCGTCTCAGTTCAGTGACGGGCCACAACACAGCCCCAGCTCACACAGCAGCACACCATCCTGGAGCGAGGAACCTGCCCAGTCCAATATGGACATCTCAACTGGACACATGATACTGGTACAAAAAACGACAGTTACATGCACATACGCTTGGCCACCTCACTGTCAGTTGCCAAGTCATTGTTATAGAATGGGGTAATTCCTAGCCCACACTGTAAAATGTGCTGTTCATAGCTCACACTGTAAAAAAAGATTTGTTGTTTTAACTTTAAAAAGTAAGTAACCAGGCTGCCTTCAAATTTAGAGTTTGAACCTGTAATTGTATGTTAACAGAACAATTATTACTATATTACATTCTGTGAACTTAGTATTTGAAGTTTAATCAGATTTTAAAATAGTTAAGGTTAAAATAATTTACTATCTAAGTTCAAGTTAAACATTAAATCATATTTTTACAGCCTTGAAAACAAGCACATTGATGTGAGCTAATAAGACCAATGAAGATGGCATCAATGAAGATAAAATGAAATGCAAGTTAACTAAATGTATAAATTCATTATTTTTATGTTTGTATAGTTTTATTCCACAAATGCTGCAAAATGCAAGATTTTTTATGTATTTGTCTTAATCAGCTGCCATCTTAACTCTAACAATTGCAATAAAACCAAGCACTATCAAAATTATATTAAAATAGATTCAATGCCAATCCAATGGGCAGCTGCATTACCTTGTTTTGTCAGGCTTACATGGAGGACCATCTGAAGAATAAGGATCGTTTGCTGAAGGAGTGGGAGGCTCTGTGCTCGTACCAGGCCGAACCCAGCTCTGTCTCCATCGCCCAGAGCGAGAGCAACCTGGAGAAGAATCGCTACCCTGACTTTGTACCGTGTAAGTCTACTGTCTTTCTGTATTTTTGATCATTTCCTTTAAATATTTTTTCTTTGTACAATACTTGGTTTGTGCAGTAGAGAATAATGCTAGAGAATTGCGTAGATTCATTCACATGGGTCACACCTGGCACCATTTATAGATGGGTTTTCTGAGTGGAGTACATCAGTGCTGTTGGGTGTCTTACATTGTGTTTGTGTGTTTCAGATGACCATTCCCGGGTAAAGCTGAAGCCTGAAATCAACCCCAACAGAGAAGATTACATCAATGCCAGCATTATAGTAAGAACTCCAACTGCCTTTGAAAGAATGCACAAATTAAAAGCAATTGCTAAAAAATCCGCAAAAATATTACATTTCTTTCTTTAATGTGGGTAGTTAACTTAATAGTTTTACCATTTTCCTTAACAGATAGACCATGACCCACGTATGCCTGCTTACATCGCAACCCAAGGCCCCCTGCCACACACCATTGCTGACTTCTGGCAGGTTGGTAACAGTTCAGTGGTTAACAATTAACTCCCATACTGCTCCATTCAATGACCATTTACTCACTAGAAACAGAGGCCTGTTAGCCAGGGGCTGAATAATATCAGTGTTCTTTGCTATGTGAAGCCTTTATTTTGACTGCACTTGTATATGAATGTGATGTAGATGGTATGGGAGAATGGCTGCACAGTGATAGTGATGATGACCGCTCTGGTAGAGGATGGAGAACAACAGTGTGAGCGCTACTGGCCAGATGAAGGATCGTCTCTATACAACATCTATGAGGTGAAAAAATTAAATTTCACTGAAAAATTTCACCCTGGATTAGTTAACATGCATTAAGTTCCTCAAAAAAGTTTTTTTTGTAATGATGCCATCGTTCATTAAATGTTCTTGCTTAACATATACTGTAAAACCCTGTGAAAGCTTCTGTGCCACTCACACAAACAAATATAACTCGACAAACAGCACTACATTTATTGTTGCATATTGTATTGCTTCAAGTTATGCCATCAATGTTAATTAAGGGTGACATAAATCAGTCAAGGCAATCATCAGTTTCCATAAATGGTTTGTTTAAACTCGGCCGAGTCTATTTTTACAACACATAAATCATAGTCTAGTATGTACTTTCCGTTCAATCCAACCTTTACACCTTGTCCAGGTGTTTGTGCATGAGTCGATGGTGATAAACAGCACCATATGGTTGTCTTGGTCCTCACTGGGCTCCCTCATGACCCTCAGGTGAACCTGGTGTCAGAGCACATCTGGTGTAAGGACTTCCTGGTGCGCAGTTTCTACCTGAAGAACGTGCAGACGCAGGAGACGCGCACGCTGACCCAGTTCCACCTGCTCAGCTGGCCTGCACAGGGCATCCCCACCTCCACACGCCCCCTGCTGGACTTCCGCAGGTACTGCTACAGCTGAGCACAGCACCGAACTCAAACACAGCCATTCACATATTGCTGCTGTCGGAATAAAACCTAGTATCTCCATTTTTGTCATTTTTCAGTTTTTGACAAAATTTGGAAATGCCTACTGCCCTTTACATTATATGCAAATGTCATGATAAATGGACAAAAAAAAACAGCCCAAAATTACTTGGAAAAAGTCAGGTTCCATTGACTTACATCGAAAGTAAAGAATGTTTTTTCCTTCTCCTGTAAAGTTATTATTTTAGATATATGAGGTTTTGTTCCGGAAGCAGCGAAAAATATGATCATACTCATACAGACACAGGGGCGTGGGAGGGCATTTTAAGTTGGATGTGCTGGAATTTTAAGCAGCATATCAAGATGGAAACAGTGATTTCATGCTGAGATAATTTGAATTGTTTTTAAATTTACATCAAACAGAATGACTCTGGAGAAAATATTGATATTTTGACAACAGAATAGTTATAATGCACATAATAATACAGCTCTACACAAGTCACTAATATAGAAGTAGCAGATGCAGACTGCTCACTTCACTTTCTCTCATTCTGAACAATATTAAGATTTTTAATCAGACTGGTTAATCATATTGTTGAAATTTGTTTCATCATGTATCACACCCATATTCAAACTACCCACTGTAGAGATAAGGCTTGAAAAAATATTCAAAACATTCTGTGTCTTTACAAGACACGTCAATGCTATACAAGAAATGTCAATGCTATATTCTCATTAATACTGCTTTTAGTAAAGAAATAAAAATGTGTTTTCCATTATGCATTACCTGTTATTCTTCTCAAAATCTCATTACATCCAACATTGTTACAAATGAATATACAGAATTTTGGTATGAAAATTCTTCAATTATGTTGGTTGAATTTTTTTATTTTTAAAAAGAATGTTAGGCCTGCTGTCACAGGGCACAAAGCTAGCCTATAACTCTGCCAGAACTTTTACTCTGAACAGCTAAACTTGCTTGCATTTTAGCAGCATGCCCTCAAAGTGGTTATTTCAAATATATGAATGATACATAAAGCAAACTCCACCTATGTGGACAAGCACACATATACTCAATCTACACTATGCTTTAGCAATAGCAGTTGAACAGTCCTGAAAGTAAGGGGTGGTGCAACACCTTCCCACGTCCCTGCAAAGTGAAGTAAATTCTGTCATGGTGAACTGTTGCAAAGTCCTAAGTCAATCCTTACTATTTGCTCTCTTTCCTTATGTGGGTCCTGTTTTCACTGTGTCACTTAAGCCCTGCAAAAAACCCACCCTTGAAGATGTGTTTACTCAGTTCTTCTCCCTTCCTTTGCCTTTGCATTTGGGATTCCTGGGTCATGCTACCTTCCCTGCTCTCTTCCCTCTTAATGTCTCTCTCTTTCATGCTCTCTTTCTCCTCCCGCTCTCCTTTCTCTGCCCTTTTCTGTGATGGAGGTTGGTGGGCTCCTGAACGTTGCACACCTCCCAGTGTCATTTTTGTGGTTTGCAGCTAGTAGTCTGGGTCCAGTTGCATAGTCACAAAAATGATCATTGGTAGGTGTGAGTGCAGCAGGAACGAGGCTGAAAGGACGCTCCATCGCCTCTCCTTCTTCCTCCTTCCTCCTCTGCCTCTCTCCTCTAAACAAGGGAGCTGTGACATCTGCGCTTTTCCTTTCCTGTAAACCCTACACTTTCATCTGACAGATTGATAGCTCAGAGTGAAGCAGCATGTACATTTAAAGAAAACTGAAAAATATTGTTTGGCTGTTGAATGGCATCTCTCCACTACCAATGCTAATCCTTTTTTTTTTTTGCCTGGTCGTCCTTTTTTCAGGAAAGTGAACAAGTGCTACCGCGGCCGCTCCTGCCCAATCATTGTGCACTGCAGGTAAACAACTGCAATACCAGTTTCAGTCTCAAGGGGGCAGAAAGGGACCCAGATATATTATTACTGTCATGTATTTTATTTGAGGGCAAAAGACTGTAATCATTTGCTTTGTTATCTCTTGTAGTGACGGCACTGGAAGAACTGGTACATACATTCTAATTGACATGGTCCTGAACCGCATGGCTAAAGGTATTCTACATGCATTCAAAGTCTCACACAGTTCACACTTCATTGAGGTTTACTGTGTTTGTCTCATGACTGTGTTCTTATGTTTCTAGGTGTGAAAGAGATTGACATTGCCGCAACATTGGAGCACATTCGTGACCAGAGGCCAAGTATGGTGCGCACCAAGGTATGGGAGTCATTTGTGCATGTGGTGTAGAAAATGTGCATAAAGTTTGTGCGTGTGTACTTGATTCAAATATATTGATGTACGTCTTTTCTTCTCTCTCTGCAGGACCAGTTTGAATTTGCTCTCACAGCCGTGGCAGAAGAAGTGAATGCCATTCTGAAGGCCCTCCCACAGTGATCCATTGTGTGGTGTGCCAGTCTGCCTATATGCATCCTTCTCTCCCTTCACACACTCACATAAGCTATTACATGGACTCTATCATGCTCAAGAAATTTTCTAATGCATTTCTAACCATGGCCTTATTCGCTGAAGATACAGGGAAGGCTCTATGAAATCAATTTAACAGTGATCACTGTGTGCTGGGTACAATGGATAGACTTTTTGGAGTGAGTCAGTCATAGCTGGGCAGATAGTCAGGTAAACTTACATAAGCTTCAGGTACTGATACAAATGGACCTAATTTCAGAGTGGCAAGTTTTAGCACATCTCTTTTTCCTGCCAATGGATGATGCCAATTGAGAATCTCAACTCTGCTGAGGTCAAAAATTACTGAATCCACATTTATTGTCCTATTCAGTCAAACATGGTGGCTATATGTATGCACAGTGCTAACATCTGAACAGAGGAAGACTCTTTTTGGAGGAATGTACTGCTCGATTAGTGTATCAAACACATAGTGTAATAACCATCACTCAATGTGCTTGCTTTTCCTCATGTTCTTTCTGACCTGTGGAAACTTTCTGTTGTGTGATTATTGTAAATAATTCATTGAGAAGTCTATTTGTTGATTCCTGTAGCAAATGTGTGGAAAATTATACAAAAAAAGAGAAATATATGACTATAATTTTTAAATTGTTCTCAATTAAATGTGGTGTGGTGCAGCAGCATGGTGTGGGTTATTTGTGCTCTGTCACCCTGCTCCTGAGATCTCCTGTGAAGAGGACTAGCTTTTGGTTGTCAGAGAACACAGTAAGCAGACATACAAGTTTTAGTCAGAGAAGTGTTGCTGTTTTGGTCTAAAAGTCTCTGAAAACTAGTGTGGCACTTGCGGGCGTTCCTGAGGCTTCGGGTATCAGACAGAAGTGTAACAGAAGGAAGCCGCTGGCTCGTCACTCGTGCAACACCACAGTGCTGCCTGCTAAGGTCACAGGAAGCCTTCAGGTCAGTGCAGTCCAGTTAGGTTTATGTCAAAGCCTTGTGGGATGTACCCTTCAGTGTAGGTGAGCATGCACTAGTGGCAAGCTTGTATGAGTCATTATTTGTTTCCAATGAAATAAAAGAACATGAGAACCCTTTGAACAAATATTTGACCTTTATCATAATATTCCAGATGATTTTGAATTCCTAAATATAGCATTTTAAAAGTGCTACACATTCACTGTTTCTGTAACACTTAACATGATTTGCAAATTCTGTCCAGTAGCTTCCTCCATAAGACACTTTACAAATTAGCGTGATAGAGATTCATGTGGTCTGAATATCAGAAAAATATCAGAATAAGTTTCCAGTCTTTCAGAGCTTTGACTACTCCCACAAATACAGACACACACACACACATTCTCAGTACATGTATTGACCTGTTTGTTGTGTTTTTCCAAATAAAACTTTGAAAAGAGTGAGCAGCAGCAGAGCCAGAGGGCAAGCAGAGCACCTGGGAGCTCTTCACCTGTTCAGGGCACATGGATGGATGAGGCGTTAGTGCTGTCACTGAGACAGGCTACCTCTACTGCTCTACTGCCATTCCCAATGACATACCAACACTAGCATATGGTGTTAAGGTGAGTACCACTAGACAGACAGGCTAATGAAAATGTGAGGTAAAGGTGAAACTATTTATCTAATTATAACACCTCTAAATGTCTTCTAAATTACATTCACTTATTATTTTATACTGAAGGAATGGGCAACCCTCTAACCAAGCTTAGGATTGGGTTCAACTTCAAATGCTGTATATTTGACTCTAATAAAATTTGACCTAATAAAGATTGGAAGCAAGCTCTGTAACTGTGCAGAAAAGCTCAGAAATCATAGATGAGGGTAGCCCACCCTTACCCTACAGTACTCAGAAATGGACAATCTGGTGTTAAGGATGCACTATACACATAATGAAAAAGTAGAGGGTTTGGAGTTTGAACTAGACTAATCTTTACCTCAAGGGACAGAAGGGGGGAGGTGGTGACCAATCAGCCTGTGAAGGCCTGGAAGTCAGACTCTGTAACGGCAGGGAAAGGGAGTCAGGTAAACACAGACACAATCAGAAGCATATGCAGATGAACATGAGACACATCAATAATGAGAACTAATGAGGATAGTATACTTTACAGGCCATGGCAGCACCAATGATTACAAGAAAAATGTTTAGATACAAGAACCTGTTGCAGGTTCAAAGGTTTTTTTTTTTGTTTTGCTTTCTTTGTGGGAACTTCAGCTTCACTGTGTACAAAAATACAGTGCAAATTTTGTCCAATGCAGCTAGAATTACAGAACAAATGTAATCATGGTTTGAGAAGCATTAAAAGGAATCCCTATAAAAATTACACAATAGAGCAAAATATGGCATGGTTTGCAAAAAGAAGTGCTTATCATCAAATTGGTTTCTGACATTTATTGTACTTCCTATTAGTGTTGACAGCTCCAAGTAAACAATTAGCAAATAACAGATGTTTAAACAAAAATGTAAAAAAATGCAAGTGTTATTTTCATAAGTAGCAAACTGCTGCCCTAATTAGGGATAGATCTGTTTGGACACTCTCGGGTAATATAAACTCAGTCCTTTCAGACGCCACTTATCAAGAACAAAGTGCACATTCTGTAGCTCTTTAAAAAAACACACTCTCTTAACATGGTGTAATATAAAAATATATAGTGAAACAAACTGCCGGTTACAATCAGTATCATATTTGAAAACAGTATGTGTTTATGTTACTGTGTTGATTTGCTGGATTGTACATTCTGCCTATAGCATATAAGAGAAATGGTGCAGCTTTTACACATTTTATACCCGTACCTGCTGACCATTTTGGTGATTAATAACCAAATGGACAAGCAGGGGATAACAGGACACATCTAGTTCCTTTGGCAACATTAACATGAATTGGCACATTAAGTATTGCATTCTCAACCACAACCATGCATCCCAAACCTTACAAAGAAAAGGCACAAGCTTTGAATCGCTCTGATATAAAACTAATAACATATTAATTAACAAATTCTTCTTTTCCAACCTTCCAACCTGCAATTAAATGCACTTCAAATCTAAGTGCTGAGGGTCTCTTACCTTCTCTTACTGACTGTAGCTTACATTACAAGAGGGGAGTAATCTATTGCATCATTATGATGTACAGAATTAACGTAAAGAGGAAGGCCATCCTGCCACAAACTTTTTCAGACAGTGTAATCAGTTTAAATTCTGCTTTTTTGCAGTAGTTGATAAACAATGTTTTGTATAATCTTGCATTGAAACATTCATAGTAGCATCATTTTGAGAAATTCCTCATCGCCTGAAAAATTTTCTCACCACATTCAATGGTTCCCTTTGAAAAGAACTCCAAACAAAAAAGGCTGTAGCAGAAAAGCTGCAAGAATACAGCTACGTATAACCATAACCTTCCTTCTAACAGTCTGATTTATCTTTATCTTGGAATCTGAAAGGCAAAGATGACTCATTCAATACTTTCAGTCTCCAAAATCTGCATTGCTCAGCACTTGCAGAGACCAAAGTTCACTTGGAGAAGGGAGATAAACTAAACAAGGCTAACCTGACTCACACTAAAACTTCATTATTTAATAGTCAAGCAGTGAATTCAAATAAAGCACAAATATGTAGTGTATAGCTGTATGTGATATGCTTCAGTACAATGCTCATGGTATAGCACTGGATCTCTCAGAAACAAAACCTTTGCAATTCATTATTACCTTTGCAAAACTGTCAGCTGTTGTGTGAACTAACTTCCCTGTCATAAACCAACTCATATTGGTACCAGTCCTGTTCTTCACTCCACACAGTAAAAAATCCAAAACAGAACAAAAAATCACTCTTCCTAACACAGTGTTATACGCTCTACAACAACTGGCAGAGATCTCTCAATCGGCACACTGTACAAAACTATAAAACGGGATTAAGAACACCACAGCAGCCATTCGAAGGGGTTAATACTGATTACATCATGCAGCAGTGTTTAACGGTGTGTCCACTCTCTGCTCCACCGCTCAGGATTGCTGTCAGCTCACATTAAGACACCACACACCGACACTTCCTCCGTCTTTTCAGCACAGTTGTCCCATTTGCTATGGGCTCTTTGCCCTCTCTATCCTCTACAACAATCCCCCCAGGGCTGACACTTCTGTCTGATCCCCTCCCTGTTTCCCTCTCCTCTGGAGATGAAGGGCTGCTTTGTGCTGAATCATCTGTCCCATGCCTCTCTGCACTGGGTTTATGAGTGACACCCCCCACCTTCCCACCTTGACCACCCTGAGCCTGCTTGTCCCGCCCTCCCCTAGCACCTGAGATCATGTCCTGGGCGGAGGCGGCCGCCCGCTTCTGGGCCTCCATCTCTGACAGGCTGTAGGCCAGTGCCATCTGCAGGTCTTCATCCTCCTCATCCTCGCTGGCATCGGGGCAATGGAAGAAGGGGGCAGAGCTGAAGGAGCGCTGGGTGCTGTTTCGGGGGGTGTGGTTAGCTAGGTCGGTGTGGGTGGCTTTCGGAGGGAGCTGCTGCTGGTGTGTCCGCTGAGGCTGGCTGGTCTGCTCTCTGCGACTTAGTTCCAGAGCTAAGGCCATCTCATCTTTCACACCTGAGAGCATGAACACCAACACTGTTACAGTGCAAGGTCTGCATACCTGACCTGACCAGACTTTAAGCAGTGGAACAGCCAAAAATCTAATTTACATAATTTGCTCCTTATTACAGAAAGAGTCCATATAGTCCTCTAGTTTTGCATTAGAGCTGTGCAACGAATGTAGCTTACAAGTAATGAAACTTATACTGGACCTTTCTTAGCACTACAATATCACTGACGTAGTTGCACTTGTGTTGCTGGAGTTTTTGAACACTGTGTATCCTTATGTCCACTTTAGACACACCTATCTTGTTGGTTCACCTTGTAGAAGTAAAGTCAAAGAGAATAACTCATCTGTTGTTGCACAATTTGTGTAGTCCTTCATTAGTGGTCAGTTTCTGGGTGCCGGACACTGTTGGCTGGATATTTTTAGTTGGTGGACTATTCTCAAGCTATGACACTGAGTTGTTTAAAACTGCAGTAATGCTTTGCCTATTATCCACATCCACTCTGTGCAGCACACCCATCCACCACCATGTCAGCATCACTGTAGTGCTGAGAATGATCCACTACCTAAATAATACCTGTTCCTGTGGGCGTCTACACCACTGATGAATGGGGTGAAGAGGGCTCAAAAATTATGCAGAGAAAAACATTGACTACACTTTAAAATGAATTAATATTTTAAATTAAATAAGCAAGTAACCTGGTTGCCTTAAAATTTGGAGTTCAGTGAACTCCTAGTAGTTTTCTATAGTGGACTGTCTGTAATTGTAGAACTACAAAATGCACCTATATGGTAAGAGGACCTGATAAAATGGGCAATCAGTGTATATACAGTATGCAAACATAGCTCCAGTGCAAAAATAAGGTACACTTTAGACACCAAACATGTCTAAGCTAATCTGACAGACTATATTTGGGGTGGATTTATATGCTTTTTTGGATGAACCATCACTTTAAATCATCCCACTACTATGAAAACAAGAAGACTACAGGGACTGAAGAATGGATGTGTAAATATTACCATTGATGAGGACAGTCTTCAGAACCCCGTCCTCCTCAATCTCTGTTCTTTCTTGCCCATTCTCTCTGATCCTGCAAGCACAAATAAATAACAGAACTCTGTTCTTACTGAAAAAAGCTTTAAGAAGAACGCTTCACAGTTATTTGGTTCCTTGTTTATGAAGATTTGTTTAAACTAGTAATTATGAATTAAGTTTCAAATTATAAATCCTTGTTTTGAACATCTGTCTTGAATATGTCTTAATGAACTAAACATTCTTTACCTGACTCAAATAAAATCAGCTTAATAAGGAAAATAGCAGCACAACATGCACAACAACTAGGTGACAATAATAAAACAATATAAGATTACATTAGGTAAGCACATAGAGAAGTGAACTTACTTTTTTGTGGTGGTGCGTTTCCCATTGACAATGCGTGTTGAAGTGGATACAGACTTAAAATTCCCCCCTCCCATGCCCCCCATTGAGGAGGAGGAGGAGGAGGAGGAGAAGGTGGTGAAGTCAACTGCAAGTGAAAGAGAAATCAATAAATGCACAAGGGAAAAATACATAAACAGAATTCCCCAGAAAATTACAAGATCTACAACAGGCCAGTTTTTAAGCTTCAAAGAAATATTTCTTAACTGTACATTGTTTTAAAAAGTGACCTACAGAGAAAAATGAGGACCTCAAGATATGCTGGATCAACTAGTGCTCACATATTATGTTTACTTCTTATTTTCACAGAAGCATTCAGTTTATTGTGAGCTGAATCTTGGTCTAAAATAACTGGTCTATAGCATCACAGTGAACATGTGCTACAGAATGGAATAGATTCAAACCATCTGCTGAGGGGAAGGAGAAGAACCGACTAGTCCCGAGTCTGGAGGAGCCATGGTGACCGTGAAAGGCGCTGTGCATGCCTCCAAATGGGAAATCATCTAGCAGATGTGAGATACAGAGAAACAGAGAGAGATTAGAAACAAAAGAGACACACACAACTCACTGGGACACTGCAGAAACAATAGGAGAGGAAGAATGTGACGAGCTCATGAGAGTTGTAGGTGTGAGGGAAAATATGACAGAGAAGAAACAGCAGCAGTCAATGAGCCTCCAGTCAAAGCATGCACTCCAGCCGACTAACCAAAGAAGTCAGCAAATGGATCCTGGCCTCCGAAGAACTCCCGAAACACCTCGTCTGGGCTGCGGAATGTGAAGGTGAATCCTGGGAAGTCGTCGGGATAAGAGCCACCTCCAGAGCCTTTGTGGAAAGCAGATATACAAAACCATAAGTGGGTCTTTCCTGAACGCATAGAGGAGAGTGGGGCCCAACCTAACATATTTTGCTTTTTCTAAGTATTTCAGCAAGATTCATATTTTTATACAAGCAACTTACATTTCCCTGCTACAAATGGAAATGTAAACTTTGTTTCTAGCACCTACCATTTATGAATAATTCAGCTGAAAGCAGAGTGAGAATAAATGTTATAACTTTCCCCATTGGTGGTGTTCACTGTAACAGTCTGAGGGGCTAGCCGTAAAAATCAGTCAGCATGGTGCTATATTACAGATACCAATAGGCTGATTAAAATAATTTAGTAGTGAATTATGTGACTTAAACATTTGGATCAGTAATTGTAAAACACTTTATGGTACAAGAACAATCTTCAGGGTGAATCTTGAGAAATATCTTTGTAAACTGCTGTGAAAATTCTCAGATGACATTGCAATGGGAGTACAAGAAGCAAATTCTACTGCAACCTGTTTAATTACATAAAATATCCATGTTACATTGTTTCCTATGTTAGTTTATGTCCTGGGCTATTCTATGAACAAAAATGGAGTATAATGAAATTATTAATACTTTTAATGATCGCTGTAAGACAACTTCCTTACCTGAGCTCGGCATGCCACTTTTCCCATAGCTATCATATGCTTCTCTTTTGCTTCCTTGGAAATGATAGAAAAATGATGGAAAAAATATAATAAAATATAATGACCTACAGGAAACAAAATTGTATGCAACTGGAACACAGAGGTCAAAGTCTTGAGGGTCTTACTGTCTGATAGGACTTCATAGGCCTCTGCAATCTCCTTGAATTTTCTCTCTGCCTCATCCTTGTTGTCTGGGTTCTTGTCTGGGTGCCACCGCAAGGCCAGCTTCCTGTAGCTATACACACAAACACATTTATACACAAGTGAGTAAACAGAGGTTGATCATAACAGTGTGTTTTAGAGTTTGCTCCTTTAAGAGCTAGTTTTCTATCAACTTCTTTGTAAACTACAATACAAACTGCAAATCGGAAACACAAAATAAGGATTCTGACAGTGTTAGGTTAATCTGTGTACCAGATCTGCAGTCCAAGCGAACAGAGAAACCTGATGCTGGTCCAGGACAGAGCATTAGTCCACTGGGCGTAAATAGTGCTGAGTCATAAAAGTTTTAAAGGGAAATGTGCCCAGTCATCCTATTTGTGACTGAGCCATGAAAACGAAACACAAACAGGCTTCGCTAATGAACATCTACATAGAGCACTAATATTTGCATAATTCTGTAAGGCATGCATTAGTGCTTAAGTGTGCCCTGACATGGAAATACAATACAGACATATTGAGCAATGCGTCTGAGTGCTCAGTTTTGCAAGTGTCTGTGAAGTAAACCCAACTCGGCTATTTGTACACTGCCCCTCATTGAAACTGGCAAAGCAAACAGACTGACAAGAAGACTCTTCATTCTGCTAGTCTGTCCATAAAAAAAGAACTTGAAATAACAAAATTAAGTTATTGATATGTTTGTGTAATGGGATCTTACGCTTTTTTGATGTCATCTGGAGAGGCGCTGCGTGACACTCCCAGAACGTCATAATAATCCACCATGTCTTCCCCTCCTCACTGTACCTACTGCAACCCCACCATGAAGAGGAAAATAAAATTAGCTCTGACAAGACATCTCACTGAACTTTGTCTCTCATGAGTGTTATTACATGCTGATGACAGGGGCCTAGAAAACAACTTGTGTCACAATAACTTGTTACAGTGCTTCATGGCTAACCTACAGAATTTGACAGCCTCCGTATGAATTGGGATGTTGTTTTATTTTTATTAAATGTACTACACAAAACTGTTTGCATACTGACATAAGCATATTGTATTATATATATATACATAATACATAATGTTAATCCACTACTAATGAATTGCTGACGTTTCCTCCGTAAACTATAACTGTGGGATTTGGATCAAGTGACTGAATATAGAACGGCATTTCCCTCAGATGGGGCCGTGTGCCTCTAAACGCCTGGAGTTCTCTGGAAGCCACACACAATGTGCTGTTATTTCAAGCTCCAAGTCCGCGATGTGTTCGGCCCATATGGCCACTGACAGCTGTAGCGCCCACACTCGTCATCCTATTACACCGGGGGTGGACAAAGTAGCCCAGACTAACGGTATTTACTGACCAGCAGGTTTCAGTACGTTCAGTAACTCAGTACACCGTCTTTTTCATGTTACCAACAGAACGAAGCGAGAGGAGAGTATTTACCTTTTTTAGAAGCGTCCACCGAGGAGGCGCAGCGTCTCTTCGTAAACACGAATGTATTATTTTGGGGGGAGCCGCTAAACGCGCTGCGCGAAAAGAGGCGGATCCTTCGCGAGAGGGGTGGCTAATCTCGCTAATCTCTAACCGACGGTCTCTGTCACGGATATACACACACAGCATGCGACTGAGTCAATTTCTTTCCCGTCGCGCTGCTCTGCCGGGCCTCATATCCAGACTGAGGGCTTTTCCCCGCGACTATATTTGTCCCCCCGCCGCCCTTCTCCTCCGGGCCGCGCCGCTGCGTCACAATCAGCTGAGCACGAGTGCAAAAAAAAGAAAAAAAAAGACATAGAACGTCTAGAATATGCCAGGGGGTGTGACGTCACTGCCCCGCCCACTTCTTCTCCTCTAACTTGGGTTGAGAGTTGGTGTGAGAGTGAAATACTACAGTAAACGTATTATTTTGTCCAATTAAATGTGAGATAGTGATTTTATTCGGAGGATGAAAAAACGTTTACCTTTGTCGGGTCCACGTCTACTGGTGCCAGACGTATTTCTGTTGAATCAAAAATACGGCAGTAAAAAGTTTCCTGATGTACCCCACCATTGGCCGCCATTTTAAGATTTCAAAAATAGGATTAGTAATAATTTATCACAACAACAGACAGTTGTTGAGGTCAGACTGAGGCGAAATGTTAACTGCAGTTACTACTTTAAATCGTAGAGCGCATCTATTTGACATTTTACGGGAGTCTGTGAGCGCGAAGATAGAGGAGCGCTTCAACTGGCACTTTTAGTACAAGATACTTGAGATCCAAAAGACGTTTCACTCACACCTAATAATCTCCCTGCCCCTCAGAAAGGGTTACACATTATGCTAAGTCTTGAATGTAACGTAAAAGTGTATTGAATAGTACATAAAATACATAGTGTGGTGGAAATACACAAACAATGATCCATAATTTGTTTTATGTGAATTAATAAGAAACTGGTTTTGTAATCAAATTACTACAGGATTCCTGGAAAGCAGCCAGCCATTTTCATGCAATGTCATGTGTTTTTAATAGATTTTTTAACTAGTGGCAAAATCCTCTAAAAATGGCCATTCAGTTATATAAATGTTGCAATTAATTCCATAAAACAATTTAGTTGTTATTTTTAGCATACTGCATTACATTCTTGAAGACCACCTTCTCTGGTGTGACTTTCATGTTTTTACTGTAGCCGTTTGTAAAAATGAATGCAAATTCCTGAGTCAATTCACAAAAACCCTTAAAAAGGTTACTTCAAATTTATAAAATGTTAATATTAAATTGCAGATGTCACAGTGTCAGTAAGTATTTGTAGGATAAATTAGGTCACACGTTTTTTCTTAGGACAAACAGAGATTATGCTATTTTAAGATCAAAAATGCTCCTGTCCGAAGTCTCGTGTTTGGTATGGAATGTTGTGCTCTACAGCATGGTTTTTCAACACCCGTCCTGAGGAGCCACTGCCCTGAACAGCTTCAGCTGAGTATCATGCCCTTCATTAGTTTGATTATGTGTGCTAGAGCAAAGCTGTGGGTCCCCAGGACTGGAGTTGAAAACAATTACAGTCATATGCTTGTCGCAAATAACATACTTTGACTATAGTTTATCACTGCTGCATTGTTCATTATTATGTATGTTAGAAAACGTTACAGTACAAATGTGTATTTCAAATAAGGGTCATTTTCAGCATGAGTGTCATGTTAGAAAATATACTCCAGAAAATTCACTTTTTCCATTACTTTTTAATTCAGTTTCAGTTACAAAAACATAGCAGACCTTGTATTTACCATGACAGTGATCTGGAATGTTGTTTCTGAATCAATTCATTTTGGCCACTCTGATGACTGCATATTTTTCTATGCAGTTTAGAACATCATTGGTCATTTATTTTCTCTTCAATACTCTTCTCCTTCTTCATCTTCTTCTCCCATGCTATCAGTGCCCACCTCTTCGTAATCCTTCTCTAGAGCTGCCATATCTTCTCTGGCCTCTGAGAACTCTCCCTCCTCCATTCCTTCTCCCACATACCAGTGCACAAAGGCTCTTTTGGCATACATCAGGTCAAACTTGTGATCCAGACGGGCCCAGGCCTCAGCGATGGCTGTGGTGTTGCTCAGCATGCACACAGCTCTCTGCACCTTGGCCAGATCTCCTCCAGGAACCACAGTAGGGGGCTGGTAGTTGATGCCCACCTTGAAACCAGTGGGACACCAGTCTACAAACTGAATGGTCCGTTTGGTCTTGATTGAAGCAATGGCAGAGTTGACATCTTTGGGCACCACATCTCCACGGTACAGAAGACAGCAGGCCATGTATTTACCATGACGAGGGTCACACTTCACCATTTGATTGGAGGGCTCAAAACAGGCATTGGTGATGTCAGCAACTGATAGCTGTTCATGGTAAGCTTTTTCAGCAGAGATCACAGGAGCGTAGGTGGCCAGAGGGAAGTGAATACGAGGGTAGGGCACCAAGTTGGTCTGAAACTCTGTTAGATCTACATTCAGAGCTCCATCGAATCTGAGAGAGGCAGTGATGGAGGACACTATTTGGCCAATGAGCCTGTTGAGATTGGTGTAGGTGGGGCGCTCAATGTCTAGATTCTTGCGACAGATATCATAGATGGCTTCATTGTCTACCATGAAAGCACAGTCTGAGTGCTCCAAAGTGGTGTGGGTGGTCAGGATAGAGTTGTAGGGCTCCACCACTGCTGTGGATACCTGAGGAGCTGGATAAATGGCAAACTCAAGCTTGGACTTTTTGCCATAGTCAACAGAAAGGCGTTCCATCAACAGGGAGGTGAAACCAGACCCAGTACCTCCACCAAAGCTGTGGAAAATGAGAAATCCCTGAAGGCCAGTGCATTGGTCAGCCTGTAGGGAGGATAGACAATTTGAGGATTATGTTAAATTCATGATCTTTTTATACTATTATATATGTATACTTTTATACTATTATGTTATCAATGAACATCACGGTTATGTTTAGTTCTCACTCAGAATCTTATTACTTGGCTCCCCAATAGGACTTTTATTAAAATGCACTTTTCTATTAAAATTGAGAAAACCTAACCAGTTTACGGGTCCTGTCCAGCACCAGGTCAATGATCTCCTTGCCAATGGTGTAGTGTCCGCGTGCATAGTTATTGGCAGCATCCTCTTTGCCAGTGATGAGTTGCTCAGGATGGAAGAGCTGACGATATGTGCCAGTACGGATCTCATCTGAAGAAAACAAAATTATAGAGAGCAACTATAAATTAAAATGGACTCCCACAAGACCCAATAGCTTTTATTTATACATAATAGTTATATAATTAGGCAGTGTCATCTTACCAATCACTGTGGGCTCCAGATCTACAAAGATGGCACGTGGGACATGTTTCCCTGCCCCTGTTTCACTGAAGAAGGTGTTAAAGGAATCATCTCCTCCTCCAATAGTCTTGTCACTGGGCATCTGCCCGTCCGGCTGGATCCCATGTTCCAGACAGTAAAGCTCCCAGCATGCATTTCCCATCTGGGCCCCAGCTTGGCCAACATGCATAGAGATACACTCACGCTACAAAAATGCATAGGAAGAGAATGAAAAAAATGAAATATCACTTCTCAGTTCATGAGAAATTTGTACAATTGTATGCAAAAGTTCAAAAAACTTCCATCAAATTACATTTTATTTTCAATGTGAAAATAAGTTAAAAGATCCTATACAGAGAACATACTTAAATGTCATTTACTGAGTTTAACATATTGCAAAAAATAAAACATAAAATGTGCCATAACATTTGCTCAGTGCACTGTGCACAGGATTTTATTTATTTATTTTTTTTCAATATGCTACAAATCAGCAAATAAACAGTGATTGTGTATTTAAATGTGCAGAAGTATATTATCTGTAGAGGATGTGTTAACCTCTCGTCTCTTAGAAAATCAATAAAACTTATCATTTAACCAAGGGTGCCCAAACTTTTGCCTACGACTGTATCTGTGTGTTCTCTATGTTATTTATGGTAGAAAGGAAAAAATGTGAAATGTTCTCCCCTCTGTCTTCTGGACTATGGGGACTTTCTGTTCCAGATTCTTCATATGCTCTAAATAGTGCCCTATAGTATAACAGAGAAGCTGCTTTGAGGTCAGTACTGAATGCTCAGCCTTTTCTTAACAATGAATAAAGGACATTCATCAATATTTTGCATCTCAAATTAGGGCTGAACTTGATGACCTCTGTCTGTCGGCTAAACAACTTTGCAGTTCTTTTTTCATCTCTCTTATCTACTGTTTAGTCTACAGTGCTGTCCTGTCCAGTTACTGTACATTTGCATGTGCGTGTCACGTTTAGGCCAGCTCATTGGAGCTGTGTGTTGGAGAGGAAATAGCCCAATTCCCTAGAGGACAGCCCCTATTCTACCCCCTCCCCTGTCCCATTCAGCTGCACACCCTCCTTTGTGTAACAAGTAGAGATGTCTCGCCCAGGCTGCTTCAGCAGAAACAGACATATCTATTATTCCACACGGCTCCAGTCTCTCCAGTGTCAGTCGCTCATGATCTCATCTACTGCCAGTGCCTCTATGTATGTCATGAAGGCAAATGAATGCTTTCATTCTCTTAAGAATGAAGGCATTGCCCTCACAGAACTTCCCTTAGCAGAGTCATCAGAGGGTTTTCTCGTTATTTTGAAATTGCAGAACCACATGAAGCAGAGTCACCCATCTAAAAATAAAGAAGTGAGCATGTATGCTTCCTGACGGAATCTGTAGCATTGTCTAGGATTTGGCTTTGTAGGCCTCAGCCACATCCTCTTTATTAGGAGAGGCATGCTCCCTCCCTGTGCTCTAAATGTTCCCTGTGTCTAAACACTTTATACACTATAAAATCAGCCAGCACTGCTATTTACTTAAGCTAACAGACTTATTTAGCTATACATTCAAAGCACAGACAATTTCCGAGCTATACAAAGTAGAAATAGTTTTAATCACATGACTTTTTTGTTTTTCACTAATAAAATCATGCACTGATAAAAAGTATATACTTTACAGAGTTTTATTCCACAGATTGCTAAAAAAACGTTAGTAAGAGTTGATCTACGTCAGCACTCACCATCTTGACAGATTTTCCTTCAGGCCGACTTGAGGATTCGGAAAGAGAAGGCAGTTGTGGGGGAGAGAGGGAGAGGTGGGGTTTTTATAGTGAGGGAGGAGGAAGGGAGGGAGGAAGCAGGAAGCAGGATCGCCTGTTGGTGCGACATGGACAGTTATGCAAAGAGGCCGCCCTCTAAGACTGCGCCCAAAACCACATACTGTATATTATACATACTATACTGATGAATGCACTACTAATGGTGATGTCCTACTGTGTATTACTATTTTGTATGGTACTATGCGGAATTTGACGCAGCAAAAGCCCCCCCCCCCTCTCTTTCTCTCTCTCTCTCTCTCTCTCTCTCTCTCCTTTTCCCTCTCTCTCTTGGGAGCTCTGGGTGTGTGAAAAACCATCTGGACTTTTTACCGACAGTGGGACGAACTAAACAACTTGAAAGGAATTTTAAAGTACACCATTTAAAGCAGTCTATGTTGTAATCTTAAAGCTCTTTGTCAGTTTTGGGAAAGAGCAAAAAAATATGGACGTTTCACACACATGGAATTGCCTTTAGGATGATGCAAGTCCTCTTTGTCCTCATTGCAAGTTTTTCTCTGCTTATGTAGCATCTGCAGAAGCCTTCTGTACTGTAATGAAATCCAACAGGGCAAAATTTTTTTTTTAAGTTTTTAAAGGGTCTGAAAAGTTTTGGAAATAGTTTATTTGTTTGATTTACATTTATACAGTAACAGCACAACAAGATTTGCAAAACAGATTTAAAACAAACAAAAAAATACACCACTTACAAATTCATACTGAGCAGTTTACACTAGTGGTATAAAGATTATTTAATGATATATAATTTGTCTGCTCAATAAAGACAAGAATCTGCTCTTTATTAAGAAAGCAAGGAATCACACAGGGCCAGTTGAATGATTTGTGTGGTACAGGGTAAATGTGGATGACGCAAGCAGTACTTCTTTGCACCATTTCTTTGTGTAATTTCATTTTTGCTCCTTGTTTTATACTAGTAAATCATCCCACTAAAAGGACCAACGTTGTGTAAAAGAAATGAGAAAAACTTAAGCTTTTCAGGAACTTCAGAAACAAAATCTTAATAAGAAGCTCATAATAAGAAGCATTTGCAAATATGATGAATTTTTTTGTAAAACAGACTACGTTACTCTAAAGTACAGCTCTGTGCAAAAGTGAGAGACCACCTTCTTATTTAGTTGGTTTCCAGTCAAAATAGCTAATAAGCACAAGTTATTCATTTTTCAGCATTAGGGAAAAAACAGAAACAAAAATATTAAAAGACCTCAACAAATAAATATAACATCGAATGTCAAATGTTTACATATTTTATGTCTCTGCTTTTTGCTTTTATTTCCATTCCTTTTAGGAGGCCTGCTTTCAGCTTTTGCATGCTGCTTGTAAACACCTCCAGTTCAGTCTTAGAAGTTGGTTGCATTTTCTGTTTCTCACAATACAAGAATTCCCAATTACATTTACATTCACCAGTCCATGAAACCTTGCTCCACATCTCAGATGTCCAGTTCTTGTGTTCTACTGAAAATCTTCATCTTCCTTATTTACTTCCTTTTCTCAGTGACGGTAAGTGAACAAAAGGTGGTCTCTAACTTGCAGAGTACATGCAAAGTAATGTTTATTTATTTATCTCTTTCTTTTCCCTACAGTATTCTGCATTTGTAGCTGGCAATACATTTATAGGTAATAACATTTAACATAACATTTGTAGTATAACATCTAGGTCCTACACATCACTACATTATTTAGTCCTTTCTGAGATATGTTTAAAACTCGACTCCATCGTCATCCTCATCTCCCATGCTATCAGTGCCCACCTCTTCGTAATCCTTCTCCAGAGCTGCCATGTCCTCTCTTGCTTCTGCAAACTCTCCTTCCTCCATGCCTTCTCCCACATACCAGTGCACAAAGGCTCTTTTGGCATACATCAGGTCAAACTTGTGATCCAGACGGGCCCAGGCCTCAGCGATGGCTGTGGTGTTGCTCAGCATACACACAGCTCTCTGCACCTTGGCCAGATCTCCTCCAGGAACCACAGTAGGGGGCTGGTAGTTGATGCCCACCTTGAAACCAGTGGGACACCAGTCCACAAACTGGATGGTCCGTTTGGTCTTGATTGAAGCAATGGCAGAGTTGACATCTTTGGGCACCACATCTCCACGGTACAGAAGACAGCAGGCCATGTATTTACCATGACGAGGGTCGCACTTCACCATCTGGTTGCAGGGCTCAAAACAGGCATTGGTGATGTCAGCAACTGATAGCTGTTCATGGTAAGCTTTTTCAGCAGAGATCACAGGAGCGTAGGTGGCCAGAGGGAAGTGAATGCGAGGATAAGGCACCAAGTTGGTCTGAAACTCTGTTAGATCTACGTTCAGAGCTCCATCAAATCTGAGAGAGGCAGTGATGGAGGACACTATTTGGCCAATGAGCCTGTTGAGATTGGTGTAGGTGGGGCGCTCAATGTCTAGATTCTTGCGACAGATATCATAGATGGCTTCATTGTCTACCATGAAAGCACAGTCTGAGTGCTCCAAAGTGGTGTGAGTGGTCAGGATAGAGTTGTAGGGCTCCACCACTGCTGTGGATACCTGAGGAGCTGGATAAATGGCAAACTCAAGCTTGGACTTTTTGCCATAGTCAACAGAAAGGCGTTCCATCAACAGGGAGGTGAAACCAGACCCAGTACCTCCACCAAAGCTGTGGAACACGAGGAAGCCTTGCAGACCAGTGCATTGATCAGTCTAAGCCACAGAAAGGATACAGAGGATAATACATTATTACTGTTGCAGCACCCTCATTATTCCAGCGCACCTGGTTCAACTCACTAATGCAGTGATTATTTTAATTAAGTTTGAATGACTAGGTGTGACTTTGCAGTGCTTAGACTCTGAAACACTTTGTGGTTGAAATGCATGGGCCTGTATTCATGAAAACTCTCAGAGTAGGAGTGCTGATCTAGGATCTGCTGCTATCTGTAAGATCATCTTAAATAAGAAAGGAATCAGGTCCTAGATCAGCGCTCATGCACTAGGAAGCTTTGTAAATACAGGCCCTGGTCTATTTTGTACTGAGTGATTAAGAAAGAAATAATGATAATGAACGTCAGCTATAATAGCTAGTCGTATAGGAAGAAAATTGCCATATAGCTCTGAGGCATGGCTTTCATACCAGTTTGCGTATGCGGTCTAGGACTGAATCGATGACCTCCTTTCCAATGGTGTAGTGGCCACGTGCATAGTTATTGGCAGCATCTTCTTTGCCAGTGATGAGTTGCTCAGGATGGAAGAGCTGACGATATGTGCCAGTACGCACCTCATCTGTTTGTGTGAAGAGGGGTGAACACCTTTACAGCATGAAGAAATACCTTCTTTAAAATGTACTTCAAATAACTTATTGCTTTAACGATCACAAGATTTGGTACATAATTGCTCCGCATAATTTGTAAGTATATTGCACATTCATTGTATTAAAAATGTGCTTATCATAGTGCCTTTATAATTTACATCGTTCATAATTTGCCTATGATTAACAATGCAAAAAACAAACAAACAAAAACAACAACAACAAAAAAAACAGAATACTCCCCTCAAAATAACCTTTGGCCTAGATTCATGTTTTAATGCTTACCAATCACTGTGGGCTCCAGATCTACAAAGATGGCACGTGGGACATGTTTTCCTGTTCCTGTTTCACTGAAGAAGGTGTTAAAGGAATCATCTGCTCTAGCAGTTGTCTTGTCGCTTGGCATCTGCCCATCTGGTTGGATCCCATGTTCCAGACAGTAAAGCTCCCAGCAAGCATTTCCAATCTGTGCTCCAGCTTGGCCAACATGGACAGAAATGCATTCACGCTGCAGATTGACATGCAAAAAGTAGCATAAGCTGCACATGCATTTGAACAGATACAATAAAATCTAGCCATTGAGACAAGAGGACAGATTACAGAATGTGGTATATGGCCATTAAATTATACCCTTCTAATTATAACATAATGTAGCAGTGTCTCTTTTGTCAATTTGACCCTGTCAGTTGATTGTCCCTACCATGTTGTATTTTCTCTTCTAGCCGATGTTAAGTGATCGGGATGAAGATCCAAATGCTTCTGACTGGGAGGCACAGCATATTTATACCTAGGTCCACGTATCTGTTCAATGTAATGAGAGAAGACCTAGAAGTTGATACTGTCATTTAGCAGAGAAAGAGAACAAAGGGGGGAAAAACGAGGTTAGCACCTCCTATACTCTGAGGACGTTTTTATTGTTGTTCTGGAGTGTAAATCTGAATAGACTTATGCTGTGATCTCCACAGTTGTGCTACATATGCAATGTTCTAATAGTGTTAAACATTTTACGAATCAGCACCAAAGAATGTAACACTTTACAATGAGAAACACAGAAACAGTGACTTCAAGATCGTGTAATTTTGGTAAGTAGGACATTCATGATTTAGCACAGTAAACATATAGACAAGCCATTCCCTGAATTAAATGTGCCGATTCACAGAGGAAAAATAAGGTCATGTAATACCCTGTTCAGTGCACTTTGAATAGGGCTTTGTCGCTGGTTATTGAAAAGTTGTAATATAATAGCTGTTCAGATTGACTTGTAAGGCACTTATGGGAAAGAATAATGACCAAACCTTAAATTTATCTTTTGTGTAACATCCTGGACATTTGCATAAAGTTTGGTTCACATCCTCTACCCTGTAATCTGAATCCAAACCTCTCAAGAGGGTATTGTACCATTCAAACAGATTTTTTATTTGCAAAAAAACAAACTATCATATTTATTAAAAATTCTATCCACTTTGTTTTTGTTAGTAAGTGATCATAAGCTAAATATAATAATTAAAAATGTAATATTCTCTAACAGCTTAGAGGAAAAGCTAAACACTGGGCAGAGCTAAACACTGTGACTGCAGTGTTGATACCTCTGGAGTCTCTTTAGTGCCACCCTGCCCTTGGCATATCCTGTCCTTATTCATCTCCTCTGATCAATCATATTTAATGATAGTTATTTGATATTGTAAACAATGAGTTGCACAGCTTTAGTTTCACTCCTGCTAGGAGGGTCTTCTTCAAAGCACATGTTTTGGCAAGAGTTTGTGAGTATAATATCAGCTATGAATCATCCACTTTGTTCTAACCCTCAGCCGTGAACAGAGGCTGCTAAGCTGATGTGTTATGAGTGCAGAAAGCTGCTGTCAGTCTTAAAGAGACTGGGGAAATGAATGCACCGACGTACATTCTGCAGACAAGGGCAGTACCCTTTTGCTGGACCACATTTCAAGCACGCCTTTCCTCTGAAATACAAAGAATTTTGTCTTTTTCATAAAGAAACTTCAAAGCAGCTTTACAGAAATGGATGTCCAGACCCCTAGTTGGCAAGTCTAGGCTGACAGTGGAAAGGAAAAACCTGAGCTGACGTGAAGCAAGCAGTCCTTATAAGGAGCCTAGATTTAAAGAGCAAATCCATCCTCCTCTGGGAGGCTCCAGGTAGCAAAGTTACAACTACAGATGAAATTTAAAATTTACTCTTTTCACAAAAAAGGCACTCACGTCATAGGAAATATGCAGTCTAAACTTTAACTGAAACCAACAAACCAACAAAGGCCTTAACATGGTAAATGTCACAGATTTATCTACATTTAAATAGTGACCTAGAAATAATGCACAATCTTATACATTCTGTCTTCATTTTACTTCCCTTAACCTGTTTTTTTCTTTGTTTTAAAATTTTAAAAACCTTAAAAAAATCTTTATTATCACGGAGTATTCATATATTCATATCTGTAAAGTTAGAGACAATAGCTTATCTGTTGGTGCACAGTTTGTGTCAGTCATCCTCTAGTTCTTCATCAGTGGTCAGCTTTTGGCCACACTGGATGCTGTTGGTTGGATATTTTTTGATTTGGTGGACTATTCTTACCCCAGCAGTGACACTGATTTGTGCCAACAGCTCCAGCAACACTGGAGGATGGGTTGTTAAATCAGTGAGAGCAGTGCTAGGACTAGGGCTTTTGTGATCTGGGAATGAATAAATGCAAGTTTTTGCAGACCGTGTTTACAAAACGTTCCATTATTCTGTGAAGCTCGCTGATCCTGAAAGCCTTGCTTATCATGAATCGCACCAACATCATGCTGCACGAAAACATGTAATACAGTAAAATCTCCACTAGAGGGAGGCAAACCGCCACAACTCATAGTACATTTTACATGTAACCTACATATTCATCGCTCAGATTTTTTGGTCTGCGGGCTTCCTTCCCTTCATGCTAAACATTGGCAAGAGGAAAATCTAGAAACAGTAACATACACAATTTTCAGCACATGACATGGCAGTTCAGTTGGACTACATTTTTAACTTTTCATACATTAGTGTCACCGTATTAAACACTCTAAATAAATGATAACAAAATCTATCAAAGCTTCATTTTTTAATTTTTATTATGCAATGCATATTAAAAATGTAACAGAATTTTATGGCTTTATTTTTAAATCATTGACTGTGGTGTTAGGCCACTGCTTTTGTGATCTGGAAATGATGGTTGACTGATGTGACTAGAAATGCAAGTTTTTACACAGCACATGCAGCAATTTGTGAAGCTGGCTGACCCTGTTATCCTGCTTACTATGAATCCCACTAACACTTCACTCAAGCCAGTAGTAAAGTGAAATATCCACCAGAGGGCGACACATCGCCAATGCACAACCATCAGCTAATAATTAAAACAGTCTGGATAATTTCTATTCTACTATTTTAAAGACAGTTGATTCTACTGTATTTTGCTTTCAGGGCAAATGATTAGATTAGATTTAGGTTTTGTTGGGACAGTGATTTTTACAACTGCATGTTCAAGTGCTTCAGACTTAAAATGTGTTGAATATCTCTACATTTATTACAAATTGCAATTACATAGTACTAGCCCTAGTCATATCCCTGGATTAGCTGGACTTTGTAAACTGAGTCATTTATTGGAGAACTCCTATAGAAATTTGCTGGGATGTGGAAATAAAAATGGTGGTGATCCAATACCTCTATGTTTAGTTACACAAAAACTGGAATAAAAGCCTACAAACATTAATCTAGCCATTATAGCAAACTTTATTTCACAACACTAGTGTCTACAATGTCCACAATGGTAACTAACAGAGGTTAGTTGATTAGTTGTGAATGTGCAGTCACTGTCTAAGAACCAGGGCTGCTATGGAAGAGTACGGCTTGACACTGTGGCCTTGTTGAGCAGTGGAGGGCATTAGAATACTGTAGCATTATTGATAACCAAACTTTAAGAAATGTACAGTCTGCATGCGCAGACACCTTCACACTCTGAGAACTTTCTTCATATCCAGTTTGAGTACACAAAGTGCTGCTGCAAAGATAAGAGAGCACTGACCAGCCTGTTAAGAGGTAACACCCCTGCTGCTGTGCCACAGTTTGATAAAGAATGACAGTTTTCCAACGAATAACTTAAACATCTGGCTATAAGAAGAGCAGACTGATTCAGATAAAGGGGTGAGTTTACTCTGATGGAGGGAAAGGGAGGTAAGAGTGAAACAACAATAACCAGTTAAGCTTAGTTAACTCCTTGGGGGAATAAACATTCATAGAAATTTGTTCACTTAGTATTATTAAAAAAAATAATAGTAAGCTACAGGATGCCCCCTTCCCTTATCCCATCTCTCCCCTCCATAGAATTTGTGCCAGTGGCCTTCTTGATGTTCAAATGACTGAGAAATACAACAAAATAAAATCCCTACAGCACACACACTCCATGAATGAATGATCAGATGAAGCTTCTTTTTCCCGGCAGAAGTGAGTGAGGGGGAGGGAAAGCCCCAGCACTGTAAATAGAGCAGCACTGCCTTACAGAGGCCACCTGAACGGAGAGCTGCTCCTCAACCACAGTTATTTACCATTAACTCTTAGAACGGAATAAAAGACCAAGATCAACATGGTAAGACAGACCTGCTTTTTTCTGAAGTTATTTATAATCCATATTTAATCAATCATGGCTTTATTTTATTATGTTTACATTAATTTATCATAACACATTAAGATTTTACATTTGCTGTCATAAATGTAAAAGTATTGCTTTTCTCATTTGTGGTGCCAGACCTTCACACAATAATGGTGAAATAATAAGTTAACTTAACATGACTACATTTAGCTTCATTAAAGCTGATATAAAAACTGTATATAAGTGAATGGGTCACCCACTGCTTACTCAAGAGCTATTTACTAGAGGGTACTTCATAACAGCGTAAGGCATGACCGGATATGTGTCTCATGCTTACTATGAATATGCCTCATCTAAGCCTGTACTGGAGTAAAAATATCAATGATACATATGTTTTGAATGATACTGTTATGAACTGAGAAGAAATATTGCTTGTAGATTAGCATGAATGGTCATTTCTGGTTGTCCAACTGGGGGATCAAGCAATAATCAACCTTTATAGAAACCGCTTCTGTGTCACATCGTGATGACCAGACCAGCTAGTATAAATAGTCCCCTGACTCTGGTGTGCATTACTGAATGCCTCAGTATGTGGCATGTGCTCACAGTTTAAGGTAGCCGCTAAGAGCTTAATTGGGGCAGCATGTTATTTCCAGCTCAAATGTCCCAGAGACACTGACACCGAGTCCCTGTCTTAAATACAGCAGAGGCTTTTTTTTTTTGATCTACCTTAAATGTCGTTGAACATTGCTAAAGTAATGCATTATATTACAAAACATAAATTACTAAGCCTCTTTCTTATCGCAAGGAAAATTCCACAGAGAGGTTCCAACCCTTACATTCAGCATTGTGGTCATTACTGACATCAGAACTGTTTGTTTTTGTTTATTGTTTGTTTATATTTGTGATGGCCTTTTGCCATATCCAAACGTCTGAGCACTCTCTGTACTTAACATATACTGCATATGCGATGTCATTTTAAAACATGTACATCCACTGTTTACTATTATTACTCACTGCTCTCTCACCTTACACATCCATGGTACATCTGATATGACCTTGCTATGAAACTATGAATTTGAATACCTGCACTTTACTCCACCTCAAATTCTCAGCTGCTGCTGAAGAACAACTGTAATACAAATATCTAACAAAATTCTCATTTTTCTCTTTTCTATTTCTTTAGCGTGAGTGCATTTCTATCCATGTGGGTCAGGCGGGTGTGCAGATGGGCAATACTTGCTGGGAGCTGTACTGTCTCGAACATGGCATTCAGCCTGACGGACAAATGCCCAGTCGCACCCCTGTAGGCGGCCATGATGACTCTTTCACTACCTTCTTCAGTGAGACAGGTGCTGGCAAATACGTTCCACGGGCTGTCTTTGTAGATCTGGAACCATCAGTCATTGGTAAGTGGAGTTTCTTAACTTTATAAATCAGTGTTTATTAATCCTGCTGCCTCAGAACCACTACCCTCCAGAGATTCAACTTCCCTACACGATTCATAAGCTCTTCCTGAGACCGATCAGGTGTTTTGGGGGAGGGAATAGTTGAAATTGTGCAGAACAGTGAGTCATGAGTCATAAAAGAAAACTACATCATTTTGTACGCTTTGGATTATTTGACTGCAAACTAATGTACAGTATTAATGTTTTGTTGCTTTTACCAGATGAGGTTCGCACAGGGCCGTATCGTCAGTTATTCCACCCTGAACAACTGATCTCAGGAAAAGAAGATGCTGCCAATAATTATGCCCGTGGGCACTACACCATTGGAAAAGAGATTATTGATTCAGTCTTGGACCGTGTTCGCAAACTGGTATGACAGCTTTGGCCTAATTATAAGATATATTAAAATATCTCTTTTTCTACTTTGACTTCTGCACTTATAAGGGTATAGAAAATTTGAACATATTGGACATATGCATCTATAATAGCTGTTCATTAGTTACTTTACTTATTATTCAATCAAATATTTGTCAGTTCTTGGTTTGGATTGTAGGACCCTGCACAGAAATATTTAAACATTAAAAACCATTTTTGCTTCCTCAGTCGTTCCTAAAATCTGAAACGTTAAGTGCTCCTGATTTTTTGCTTTACTTTAACATTGCACTTTGAAATAAGAATAGAAAAGATTTGCAGAAACCTAGAAGTTTGAATGTTTCCTCAATGCTTGTGTGCAGATCTACTATGTAAAAAAATTTGGCTGATCCCAGATCGTATATTGTTAAATACTATACCTGGCATCAAAATTTAAAATTTAATGTTTTGTGTTGACTTTCTCTACCCATAGACTGATCAGTGCACTGGTCTGCAAGGCTTCCTCGTGTTCCACAGCTTTGGTGGAGGAACTGGGTCTGGCTTCACCTCACTGTTAATGGAACGCCTTTCTGTTGACTATGGCAAAAAGTCCAAGCTTGAGTTTGCCATCTATCCAGCTCCTCAAGTGTCCACAGCAGTGGTGGAGCCCTACAACTCCATCCTGACCACTCACACCACCCTGGAGCACTCAGATTGTGCTTTCATGGTAGACAATGAAGCCATCTATGATATTTGTCGTAGGAATCTGGACATTGAGCGACCATCTTATACCAATCTCAACAGGCTGATCAGCCAGATAGTGTCCTCCATCACTGCCTCTCTCAGATTTGATGGAGCTCTGAATGTAGATCTAACAGAGTTTCAGACCAACTTGGTGCCCTACCCTCGTATTCACTTCCCTCTGGCCACCTATGCTCCTGTGATCTCTGCTGAAAAAGCTTACCATGAACAGCTATCAGTTGCTGACATCACTAATGCCTGTTTTGAGCCCTGCAACCAGATGGTGAAGTGCGACCCTCGTCATGGTAAATACATGGCCTGCTGTCTTCTGTACCGTGGAGATGTGGTGCCCAAAGATGTCAATGTAGCAATTGCAGCTATTAAGACCAAGAGGAGCATCCAATTTGTAGACTGGTGTCCCACTGGTTTCAAGGTGGGCATCAACTACCAGCCCCCTACTGTGGTTCCTGGAGGAGACCTGGCAAAGGTGCAGAGAGCTGTGTGTATGCTGAGCAACACCACAGCCATTGCTGAAGCCTGGGCCCGTCTGGATCACAAGTTTGACCTGATGTATGCCAAAAGAGCCTTTGTGCACTGGTATGTGGGAGAGGGCATGGAGGAAGGAGAGTTTGCAGAAGCAAGAGAGGACATGGCAGCTCTGGAGAAGGATTACGAGGAGGTGGGAATTGACTCTTTTGAGGAAGATGAGGAGTTTGAGGAATATTAGCTTTGCTCATAAACTGTACTTTTTCTGTTAGTGAGAATTTTTAGTGTGCTTCTAAAACAAAATGTAAACTGTTGTTTGTGTCTATCAAAATTAATAATAAAAAAGATGCTGATCTACATTAGAGGCCTGTTTCTGTACTTTAACTGACATTGATTGAGGAACATGTCAAACTGACAGTTGAGGTGCATCATTGATGAGCATGCACCTCATTCTGTATAAGCAAAAAATCTTTTCACCACTCAACTGAAAAAAAACATTAAAATTGGAATTAATTAAAAATAGGCTAGAATTAAAAATGTTAGTCATCTTTACCTTAGTTCCAAAGCTACCATTAGTTCAAAGCTATTGGTTATACTATTACTATGTTTCTCAACCACTGGGCTATGGACCACAAGTGGGCCGCTAAACACCCTTTGGTGGTCCTTGGACCTATACATTGCAACCATTTTGATAGATTTCCATTTTGATAGCTAACATTAGCCTACTCTGTAGATATTTTAAGTTTAGTGATAAGCGTCACATAATGTGGGGGTATTCAAAAATGAATTTTCTTTTTTCTTCCCTGTGGACCTTCATGCTTCCTAGGGATAGATAGGTGGACTTGGAGGTGGTAAATTTTGGGAACCCCTGCTCTAAACCATTTCCTCATGGGTCGCTTATGGTACGCTCATTTATTTCATGTTTAAATCACAGCTTAATTTAAGAATTTACCTCTTAATAGATGGTGTCCTTTTATGCTCCTCTCCAACAAAAAGAGCTACACCATCAATAAATAAGCAAACACTTCCACTCATTTCAGTGACTTATATCCTGTTGAATTGTTGCTATTAGAACACTAGAGGGCGATGCAGACCTATGATGATCCTTCTATGTTGTGCCTTGCAAGCACAGGCAGTATGTCTAGACCACAAGAGATGAAAGAATGTAGGTTGATTAATAAGTGGCCAACAGCAGTAATAGACTATACTAACTAGATTACATAACCAGATCACAAAATCTAAAACTTGGAATCAGAGTTGGATAACGTTGGGAATAGGTGTAAAATGCACACTGTGGAGATAATTATTCTTTTTTAAGGATCACATTTTGATTGGGTGACTTTCATAAATCAGTCTTTGAATTCTTAATTTATTGAGCATGCCTATCAGCCGCATAACAGCTCTGCCACTCTTATTGATAACTACTTGTGATTTTGGGAGAAAGAAGGAAGAAGGGTGGTATATTATGGCTATATGTTCAGATGTTTCTATTTTTATGAGATCAATTACCTGATTATGAAGACAAATAAGCTTGTTAGGTCAGATGTGGTCCAAAAGTAATCAGATGAGATTACACCTTTAAAGTTATCTAAATTACTACTACATTACTGATTACATTATATTACTGATTACATACTTAGTCATATAATTTGTAATCAGTACAGATTGCATTTCTGAAGTAATCTACCCAACACTGCCTGCCACAATAGAAATATGCATTTTACATATTTATTTTAGTTACAGAAGGCAGACATCAGAAGTGTAGATTCCTGAACAGTGGCTGATAGTGAGCCAACCAAACATAGATAAGTCATCTTCATTCAAATCAGAGATTAGTGATGGCTTAAAAGGCTTTAATTTAGCAGTGCAAGAAACTACTCTTTCCCACTTTGTAGTGTTTGTTGAACTATACTAGTTTATACTAGCTTCTGTAGAGCTAGAGCTTGTAAATAGTTGATGAATCATTCTCTTCAGATTTTGCTAGCATGACTTCTGATCCGTCATTTCTTGCTGCAGTTAATGTAAATAAATGTATACCGTTTAATGTATCTAAACCCAAATGCATAAACATTATTTATCATGCACACACAGATCGAGTTAATCAGGCTGAAAGTTGGCTGATTGTGCTGGAATTTTATTGTTTATTTGAAGGTATCAGACTTCCCTAATTAGACTAAGGCCCCACCCTGTTCTAGTTAGTAGGCTGTGAGCAATTACTCAAAATTGGGTTGGCCTGCAGATTTATAGCTGCAAAGGTCAGCAGGATCAAACTGATGTCGTACCTCACTCCATGTCCTAATCAATCGTGCTAGCAACCTCAAATCTACACATGCGGAGAGGCCATAAACTCTGCTACACACTACACACACACACCACAATCCGGAGTCAAAAAGTGCAATGAATTACTCTTTGATTAAGATTTTCACCAGTCGTGCCCTCTCCAGCAACGGCACTGTCCTCTGTGTGCCCACTATCAATCATATTTTATTATGGTTTATTTAATGTAGTTAATCCACATCATTCTAGACCCTGTGTCATTTAGCTCTGCACTACCAAATCAAAATATCATTTCATTTTGATAAATTCATCATAACATTTCACAGTTGAGAAATCCATAGCAAGCTTCACAACTTTGCGCATGTATTTTGTGTGAATTTTCTCTCAGTGCTGTGTTAGTTTATTGTTCTTCCTTTAGAGCCATGAATCGAACAGCGTCCATAAACTATTCCCACAGCACATTGATTTGGTGATGAATCAATTAGTGAGTTATTTAATTAGCCAGGCATTATGGGTCAGTGTTGAGTGCCTTTGATTGTGTGGAGTTGCCAGGTCCTCTTAAATCACTCATTTCAACTGGTGCAGTGGGATATTTTTTTTTTCTTATACAGGCCTCACAGAAGCAACAGTGATGAATAACGAAATGGACACATAATGAAATCTCATTGCATGAACTGTTAGGTACAGCTTCTCCTGTCCTGCTTTGGAAATGGAGACATGTTCTAAATCACTGGGACTATGTAACCTTGAAATGACAGGTAAGTATATTGGTAGTTACTAAACATTGACTTTGGAATGTTATATGATTGTGTGTGCTAATTTATTTGATGGAAAGCCAGACACAATGCTGGCTCTGATATGGAGAGTGCTTGCATCCCTAGCTATTCCTGTGTGAGGAGAACACACTTCCTTTTTTTTAAACCCACTTTCCTTACTTTGTAATCCTTGACTGTAATGCATACTTGGGCAGACCATGGTGTAAAGCCGAAACGTGCCAGGTGCACTATACTTATTATGTAATCTAATTAAGCACATTCTTCATACTGCTTTCCGATGGAGCCCTGGGGAGCAACTAAAACACAAAGACTGTGAAACATCCACTCGAGATTGGCAATGGTGTTCAGCTGTTAGCTGATTACATTGATCTCATTGATTTGTTACAGCTTTCCAGTCATTCCATCTCCAAAGGTGAGCACTTTATCTTTATATAAACACGCCGGGTAGAGAGCCCCTCTATATATTTTACGGAGTAATTAGGTGAAAGTGTTTTAAGCATAAGCATAAGTATTTTCAGGATAATCAATGCTTTTTCATTGTCCAATGGGTCAATACAGGTCCATATTCATTCATCTAATTAATTATCACACAGCCTTTTGTATTGCTCTGACCTGTAATATTTAGTCAGAGGTGTTGACTGACCTAACCAGTGCTGTTGAGACTATGTAGCTCATAACTACAGTTTCTTGACTTTGATTTTCTTTGTTTTGTTTCTTTTCTGTTTGAGATGACAGATAATAGTTTTATAATTACATAGGAAGCACTCTTAACAGTTGCTAATAATGGTGATGTAAGTATACAAGTTGCATGCAAACGTTTGAACACCCCCAGTCAAATTACATATTTTGTTGAATTTCTCAGTAAAACTACACACTACACACATTTAGCAAATTCTCCCTTATTGAGAGCAAAATCAATGTCTGGCTAGAAAACCATGAACATTTCACCCAAAATGAAATATTCACATCGAAATACCAAACAGATCTGTTTAAATTTATAGAATAAATCAGATCTTTCACAATGCAAAGAGAAATCGAGAACGCAGTTGACATGGTGAGTTTGCTGCTGTCTTTAGACTAAAGAAAATGCAGACATGCAGACTAAAGACAATGAAAAACATCTCATATAACTTCACTGAATTATTCATTGATGTCTTTATCATATGTGTTTTTTAGTGTTTACCTGAGGAAAAAGATGCTGATTGTAAATGATGCAAAATATACTCCACACTATAGAGAGTGTAAAAAATAAACCCAAGCAGAACAGCAGACAAAAGAAGACTCACATGAAACACTTCTGTTTCAACAACAACAATCTGTTGTTTAAATAAATAAATAAATAAATAAATAAATAAATAAATAAGAGCCCTAGTTGGTCCTGGAATGAAGCTTAAATGACTCCAACATGGTCCAAACTGGACCAGCCAGACCAGAGATATCTATCATTCCTTTCCTTCTCTGTCCCTACATACTCCTCTTTTTTCTCTCTTCTTTTTCTTTCAGCTAGCATCATCATACAGCAGGCAGCAGTTCAGCACCTGTAGCTGCCGTTTTTATTCATGTGTCTGTTGATGTTTTGAAGCTCACTGGTCGAATGTTAGCAAGTTTGTCTAGTTCATACAAAACATCACTGTGTGGCTTTACGACATGAAGTGAAATATGCATATATGCGTTATGTTATTAGACACTCAGGTCTGTTTATACCTGTTTGCATGTATTTTGATATATATAAGAAATGACACTTTATTTTTTCTCATTGATACTCGAGTGTTGAGAAAAGGTCTGTAATGTTTGTCCTGTTGCAGTCTGAGCTCTGTAACTAATTCCCCAGTTTATTAATTTTCTGCCTTCATCTTTAAAAAAGATTTCATGAGAGATTATTATGGAATTTATGATTGGAGGTGGAGAACTGTGTTTAGTGTTCTGCAAAGAGTGCGTAAGCAGTTTGTAATAAGAGAGAAATGCAGTGAAATATGTTCAGTTTGGCTACATTGACACAAGTAAAAAAAAATAATCTGAAATGTGTGCCAGCGTGCAGGAACAGTCTATTAGCAATCAAAAAAAAAAGCAAATATGGTATTTTTCAAAATATTTTACTGCACCATTTCTACTTTTCTGCTTAGTAGAACATTTTAGACAAAAAAGCAAACATAAAATACAAGATGTGCCATAACTTTCGCACAGGCCGCATTTTCTGTTTTATTTTCTGCAGTATGTTAAACCTAGCAAATAAACAGTAATCGTGTGTCAAAATGTGCAGAAGTGTGTTCTCTGTAGAAGATGTGTTTTTTTTTTTCACTTAGAAAATT